CTTGCAGTCAGTTTCCCATGCATCCACGGGGCTCAGCAGAGCCAGGCTTTGACTTCTGTGTCCTCCCCTCCTCCAACCCAGCCATCGCTGAGGCACTGACCCTCCAGCTCAGCCCAGCAGCCTGCCAGGGGTCCTCCAGATGCCAGCTGCACCAATCAGAGTCCTCACCATTGCCGCCAGGCAGCAGATGACCCAGGCCCCGAGCCACATCAGTGCCCAGGTCCTCAGGTCTTTTCTGGCATCAGTGAGCTCAGGCCTAGTGAGTTTCCCAGAGCCAGGCTGAGGTGGAAAGGTAGGTACAGAGGGGTGTACAAGGGTGGCTGTGGCACCACACCTGCCAGGACAGGAGGACACTGGACCGGCCAAGAGGGAGAAGCCCCAGGGAGAGCCCAGAGCCCTGTGACCCCCCAGAGCTATCCAGGCCTCTGCTCCTGACCCTGTTTGCTCATTGCCTTTGGCTGTCTTCTGGGAGGGAGGTGCTGTCTTACTCTGGGTAAGACAGCACATGCTGGCCCATGGACAGCAATTTGTGGGGACACACCCAGGAGGGAGCCCTGAGCTGGCACCAGCCCTGGCAGCTGGCCCTACACATCTGGGTCCTGCAAACCAGCATCACTGCTGTCGCCTTGGGGACGGTAGGCTGGGATGAGGACTCGGGACCATCACATCCTCGGGCTCCTCTTATTCTGGGCTCTGAGAGCCTGGCAGGAAGAGACTGAAAGAGACTCCACCAGAAGAGACAGGGCGGACGTTGAGGGTTCAAACGGCCGTGCTCGCATCTCAGGCTTTCTCTGCCCCACCGAGGAGATCAGCCAAAGGTTTCCAAGACGTGGGGTGGTGACTGCAGCCTCCAGAAGAGTCGCAGTTTCCAAAGTGTCCCTTTGGCTGCCTCTCCCACAGACTCCTCTTAACTGGCTGGCTCGGGCCAACTCAAACACATACACACACGTACCCGCCCCCTCCCCCAGTCGGCCCCCTTCAAACTGTCCCTCCCCACAGTGCGGCATTCATGCATCAGCTCTAAATAGTCCCACTGTTCGGCTTTAACGAGTAGTAATACCAATTCCCATGTTTGCTCAGAGAGCACCATATTTCATCAAACCAGAGCCCACGCCGGCTCAGATTACTGACCGAGACAATGTTCTGTAATCCTGGCTCATTCACATGTCACGGGTATTTTAGCAAAACAGAAATGAATGGCCCGCGCCACCCTAGGAAGTAACGGGAGAGTTGGGTTCCCGCCCAGGGGAAGTCAGGCTTTCGCCTGCCACAGCTCTGTTGGAGGAGCTGCCTTTGATACTCTGAGTTTTCCCGGCTTTCAAGAAAGAGAATATGGGCTGAGGAGGAGTCCCGAGCTGGGTAGTTATTTCCCTATAAAATGTGAACTCCACGCACGGATTTTGCCAGAGCAAAAATAAAAATCTGTCATTGATTATAAAGTCCTTTGTGCTCGCTATTTCACAGATTTATTGCACTGGGGCCTGGCGGCCTGGGGAGGCCCTGGAATCTTGTCTCTAGCACCCCACAGCTCACGCCCCAAATGGGAACAGGGACTCCCTTGCATTTCTTTTGTCCTTGAGGGCCAAGAGCTTTGAAAATGAGATGAAGAGCTGTGAATCATCCTCCCGCAGACACTGATAGCAACAGCTCTTGGCAGAGGCCCGAGACTTCCTAATCAAGGGAAGAGCCCTCTTCTTTCCTTTGCCTGTTTAGCTCTTGGCACTGTGCACACTGAGAAAGATACTTCCTCCGCAGAGCAGGGAGCAGCCCAGCCAGGAACCTCTCCCCAGATCTCCCAGTCCAGCTCCGCTTTAACTGTGTCACAGCCTCTCAGACACACCATAAAAACAGCATTAGCGACCATCGACGCAACTTCATGCCATGTCCACCTAAAACCCTGCCAGTGACCCTCGCAACGTCCTGCTCGCTCCAGAGTTGAAAAAACTGAAGCCCAGAGTAGGGTAGTGAATTGCTTAAGGCCACACAGCTAGGCAGGAGGAAAAACAGGGAAGTCAGCCTGTCCTGGTCCACTCCACAGGGTCACCTGGACCCTCTCACTCCCAGGATCGGTTGATAAGAGGCAAAAAACTTAGCAATGGGCACTGGAGAGAAAAAAGAGCCCAGGGATCCACCTTCTGGGGCTCAGAGAGACCAGGGACTGCTCAGTGCCACAGGGCTAGTTTGACTTGCAAACTGGCTCAGCCATAAATCTGGAGAAAATCAGGGGACAATAGCTTGGGTGCATTTCACTTGTTTTTTTTTTTGGGGGAGAGTTCTTGATAGAACCAAAGGGGAACAAACTTTCTAATTACTCAGCCTCCTTCCTCCCTCTGCATCGTCTTCTGGGTCCCAGCATACGTGGGTCCCCAAAATAACCTCTCCCTTCTCGGGACTGGATCCTTCGTCCGTCTTCATCTGCAAGTTCAAGACCTCAGCACCCAGAAGGACGGCCGGACACTCCCCAGGGCTGTCAGTCATGGACCGAGGACTTGTCTCCGCAGCCCACCATCCATCCTTTACTCTGAGCTGCAGCCTGAACTATTAAAAACAAAGCCTGCTCCCTGGCGAACTCCACAATTCGCCTCCTTTCCGCCGCTCCAAATGCTCTCCAGCCCGAGCTGTGATTGCACAGGGATTGTTTCTCACCTTAGCGAAGCCGTTTCAGGGGGCCAGCGAGGATGTGACCCAGTGGTAATCCGAACTGCCTCACCAAACACATTTTTATCCCATCATCTCGGCCACATGAAAGGGGGCCACAGCGCTCCACTGTTCAAAATTTTACAGTCCCGCTGGCCGGCAATAAAACCAGGCAAGAAATATAAGCGATCCCTGGCCCACGCCCTGCCTCTTTCCCCACCATGTCAGAGGATCTGTACCCTACAGGTTTTAGTGCAGGCTAAAGCCTGACCCTCCGGCGGGCTTGAATGCAGCGGGAATGAGTTAAGGAGGGCCAGAAGGCTTTAATGGACCCCATCCCAATAGCCCAGCTTGTGTGGGCCCCCCGTGGATCACCCTCCTTTTCACAGGCCTCGATTGTTGTATGGCCCCAGCAGAGACAAAACTACCCCTGAGCAGAGGTTACCCCCAGCCGGGGCAGGTCAGAGGCATTCTGGGGGAGAAGGGAGGGGAAGGGGAAGTGAGGGGCACTATGAAGGAGGGAGGTGGGGGTGGGGAGGAGGCAGTAAAAGATGGGGGGATAATTTCTAATTGGAGATCCAAGTCTGGGGCTGCTCCCCTCCAGGCAAATCTTCAAATCTAGAGACAAAAATGGAAGCTACACTCATGAGCATAGGAGGCAAAGTGAGCTACTTTTCAAATGTAACAATAAATAAAATACCACCTTTTCCCCAGAGCTACAGGCCTCAGGTTGAGCATCTCAATCAGATGGTCTCCAATTTGACAGCATGAGATTTTTCAAAACATTACAAATGGGTTGTGTTTTACACCCCGACAGAAGATTTTTCCAGCAATTTTTCAATTATTACATTGTGAGCCCTCCAAGAAAAGTAACTATTTTGGCTCGAGACCCCAAAGTTACCAAGTAAAGGGAACAGCATGTTCACAGGTTTGCCAAGAGTCCTTTGAAATGTGGCATACCCGGTATCCAAGAGCTTTCCAGAACACGGGCTTGAAGGGGCTCCTTCCCTTCCCTCAGCAGAATCTGAAAGCTGGGTGTGGTAGTCTGCACCTGGAACCCGAGCACTGGCAGGGCAGAGGCAAGACATTGGGGGGTTCGAGGCCAGGCTAGTTGTCAAAAAATATTTTTAAAATAACTTTGCAACATTTTAACCTAGTATTATTATATGATCTTTTCCATTACTACCTAAACTAGAAGCCTGCTTAAAAGTTATAATGTCAAAGTAGAGATGAGCAAAACTGACACTTTGAGGTCTGCAGAAAGTTCCCCGTGCTCTGGAAGTTTCTCCACAGGTGTCTTCTGAGGAGAAAGTCACAGGGATAGCCGCGGTGCTTGGTTGCTTGGATTTGTAGCCTTGAGAAATGCTAAATATCAGTTAGAGACGGTGAAAATTAAGATGCAACGTTTCCCTGTCAAGTTCATGGCACCTCAATTTCAACCCACACAGAAAGAACTTTGCTAGAGGTGAAAAAAATCTAGGACCTTCTGTCCAGGGCTAAACTGTGGTCAGGGGCCCGGGACGCACTGCTCCGACGCTTCTGGGGTCAGCCGAGGGCTTTCTCTTCCTCCTCTGATGCACTGGAAACATGTTTTTACAGCGAATTGAAAGCATGTCCCGGTTCATCCAGTCCCGTACAGAGATTAGTGAGAACCTTTGAAGTATTACTTCAACAACTGGAATCACCATTGCCAAATAAAGAGTCTGCTAATCGGTTAATTCGGAATTTTAATCAGGCTCTTCCTGCTTACTCCCATTGCCTTCAGTTTGAGGGGACCCCCTCCCTACCTTTTTGGCCTGCCCAGGACTGCCCAGAAAAGGTCCGAGTTCTGGACACTCTGGCTCCCAGACAACCGGCCACATGCACACACGAACACACCGCGCGCGCGCGCGCGTACACACACACACACACACACCACACACGCACACACACGCGCGCGCGTACACACACACACACACACACACACACACACACACACACACACACGCCCTGGGTCCTCCTCGGGGAGCTGTCATCTTGCAACCGCAGAGCCCTGCATGCCATTGCAGGGGCAACCCGGCAGGCGGGCCCCTCCCCAAACCGGGCTGAGGGCGCCGACACACAGGAGCCAGGCGCGGGGTTGATTTTGGACTCCTGGCGGGCAGCGGGGAGCGCGCTCGCCCACGCCCACGCCCACACCTTTCGCACCCGCGGGCGCACTCTCGGGGGCAAGCTCCGGCGATGGATCGCGCACCACGCACCAGGATGCACGCACACTGCGCGGCCAGCCACTGTGGAGCGTCCGGGGAGCTCAGCCCAGTCCCCTGAGGGCGCTGCCGGCTGGCCGCCCCGCCCCGCCCCGCCCCGCCCCCCGAGCCAGCCTGGCCCTCGCGCCGTGGACCGCAAAGTTTGTCCGCGCGAGTTCCCCAGACAGCACCCGGCTCCGCTCTGCACCCTGTTAGCGCCGCGGGACTGGGGGACGCGGATGCACCGCTGGTCCCGCGCCCACCTCGGCACCCGGAGCCCCGCGCGCCCACGCTCCCCGAGCGCCGTCCTGCGCCGCCGTCCCCTCGCCATGGCGCGTGGCCCCACGCGGACCGGTCGGGGGCCCCAACTGCTGCTGCCGCTGCTGCCTCTGCTGCTGCTGCTCCGGGACGGGGGCTGCAGCCACTCGTCCTGGCCCTTGCCGCCAGCGGCCGCCTATAGCCTGCAGGAATCGACCCCAGGGGACGCGGCCGCTGCCGTCCTGGGCCCCGGCGCCCGGGACATGGTCGCTGTCCACATGCTCCAGCTCTATGAGAAGTACAGCCGGCGTGGCGTGCAGCCGGGAGGCGGCAACACGGTGCGCAGCTTCCGAGCCCGGCTGGGTGAGTAGCGCACAGGGTCCCTTCTCCTTCTCCCCTTCCTGCTTGTCCAGCCTCCCCACAGCCTTCATTCATTACTCCCCGTCACTGCCCAACTCACTGAGCACCAGGCGTCAGGCGGGAGCCTCCAGCGAGGACCCCACAGTGGCACAGCGGCGCGCACCAGGTGCCCTTCGGCTGTGGCTGCCCATATTGCAGGACAAAGGACACCCCCACCCAGACACAAGCGTTAGGCGCCAGTGAGCTGAGGAGTACGAGGAACAGAAGGCCAGTGGTGTTAGCTAGCACTGGCCACTAGAGAAGGGATGGTCAGGTGGACACTCAGGGCCAGGAGAAGATGAAAGCACCAGGCCTGGCAGGAGGGGGATTCCAGCTGCAGGAGGTGGACGATTTGGTGGCATGTGCTGTGGGTCTTAGGTGCTTGGCATTGAGAATTCCAGGACCCCAGCATGAAGTGTGCAGGCAGCAGTGGGTGAGGAAGTCTCCAGAAGCACCCTGTCTTTCTGCTGTCTGGAAATCACCCCCTGCCTTCTTCCGTGGTGGATGGAGCTGAGCAGAGGCCCTTGTGTTGGCTTCCTCCGAGGGCCCCTGGGCGCCATCCCCAACAGCCGGCCCACTGGGCTGCGTGCGATGCAGGGATGGTGGGAGGACCCTGGTGTTGTAGTGACTCCTCCAGGTTGCAGAGTGCCCTTCCAGAACCCGTGGGTGGGAGGTCTGCTGCAGCCCGTGGAGAGGAGGCATTCATGAGGAGAAAACCCTTCCATGTGATGGCTGTCCTCCCTCCATGGAAAGACAAGGCCATCCTGCCTGGGGTCGGAGCTGTCACCTGCTGCTCACAGGCTGAGTGGCTCTGTGGCCTTAACACCAGACAGGGGAGGGCCTGGCCTCCCGGGGTGGTGGACGGGGAAGTGCGGCCAGGGAGGGGCTTCCTCTGTCCTCCCCTGAGCAGACTCACTAGGTCAGGGGTGCTGGGATTCTAGAGAACCCGTCATACAGTCATACTATCCTTCGGTGCCTTTTGTTTACCATCTAATGTGCATTTCTGGAGCACGATTATTAAATGAAGCCACTTAGGACTCAGCCGGCACGACCTCGACCTTGGTGAATCACTGAAGCCGGTGAAATTGAGGGTCCCCATCCATGAATGGGCTGGGGACGGGCAGAAGGGTCCCCAGGGGCAAGGTGGGAGCCCTGCGCAAGCCAGAACAAGTATCGTTCTGTTTCTGTGCAGTGGGGCTGGTGCCAGTCACAGGAACCCCGGACCTAACCCCCGAAAGGCCTGGAGACAGTGACTCACATCCTGTGGCTCAGACAGGGAAACTGAGGCAGGGGAGATCTATGCATGGCAATGGTTGGTGCCTCCCGTGTGCCGGGCCATTGCTGTCACTCTGCCACGCCCCCTACCACCTCATCAGAGACAAGCCCGGGGTGCGGGAGCAGTACGGTGCAAAGGACCAGTGGAGAAGTGAGAATTCTGGTACAGACCGGAACCGTCGGACAGATTCCTCAGCTTTGGAACAGGGAGGCAAATTTGGGCACAAATCCCAGCTTCCCCACTACTGGCTGTGGGTGGTGGCACTGGCCACTTCCCGCTCTAAACTGCAGGAAGGAGGTGGAGACTCAGTGCCCCGCCTGGCAGGGGTCACTGTGCCTCATCCAAGTCCACCTGGCTTCCTGGCCAGCGCTGTGCCAGCCCTCAGACATGCTGCTTCTCCCTCAGGGGAACCCATCTGCAAGGAGGGCTGTGGCTGGGCAGGGACCCCAAGTCCGGGGCAGGACCACCAATGGGGTGGCTGCCATAGATGGCATCAAGTTGATGCTGAGCTCTTGTTCCACACGGGAGGGCAGAGGGTGTGGGCACAGGGCTGGGCAGGCCCAGGTTCGTGGGCTGCCTCTGCCCCTTCCAAGGGGTCTGACTTTGGGCTGGTTGTGTCCACTCACTGAAAGCCCAGTCCTCTGTCCACAGAGTGAATGGCCTGTCCCTCCCCATCACTGTAGTTAGCAGGTGGCCAGAAGTTGAGCCATGGAGCACAGAACCCCATAAATGGAACCCCAAATCTACAAGTCCTAAATCCCAAAAGCCGCAAGTTCAAAACTTTCTGAGCACTGCCAGCCTGTTACACGTGGCAAATTCCACAGCCAACTCCATGTGACAAGTCCCAGTCAGAACGCAGATTCCCTAGAAATACTACATGAAATTACCTTCAGGCTACATTGATAAAGTCAGGGAATAGAAAACAGGTCTTCAGACTGGGTGCCATCCCCAGGATATCTCAGTCGTGTCTATGCAGATGGTTCAATATTTTTTAATCTGAAATGTAAAATATTTCTGGTCCTAAGCATTTCAGATATGGGTACTCAACCTGTATTCCAGTTTAAAGATGTGAAGAATGGGGTCTCCTGGGAGGTCACTGGCTGGAGGCCAGCACTCCCTCGTCTCCCGTTGCGTTTGCCAAAGAACCAGGCTGTCTGAGCTCTTTGAGGACGTGGTGGCTGTACTCTAGGACAGAGCCAGGGCCTTGTAGACACCACTGGTACCCTGTTTTCTGCAATGCAGCGCCCATTTAATATGCCTGAGGGGTCCCCTCCTTTGTCACCAATCTCTGGGCACCAAATGCTTTCCCTGCCGTGTACCAGGACTTAGGGACCCAGCAAAGAACAAAATGGACAAAGCTGTGCCTTCTCAGAGTTTATGGAGAAAAGAAGGCTAATGATGATAAATCAATACACATGATTTCAGGAAGTGCTTGAAGACAGAGGAGGTGACAAGGGGCTCTTCAGTCCCAGGGGCAAGGGCAGCTTGGCAGGGGGGACCAACTGGGCAGAGACCTGAAGCCAGAGTGGGAGTTTTGCAGATGGTTTTGGGGAAGTGAGGGGTTTGATACAAGGAGAGAAGGGAGAGGGGTCCCTTGCTCAGTCACTGTGTGCACTTCACAGGAGATGGGGCGCTTGTCTTTGGGCTGCTCCCTTGTATCTAGGCACATCTCAGCTGGAAACCTCAGGTAGGACCTCTCCCTGCCGTAGGCCACAGCCCACGTGGCACAAGCAGGTTCGTGCCGAGCAGGCCAGCCTGTGGCCCATCACTCCCTGGAGCTATGGTGACCCAGCTGGACCTCAACAGATCCCAGGAGGGAGGGTGCTCATGGGGCAGGCTGCCTCAGAAGAGGAGAGCTGTTTCTGGCCAGGAGCAACCAAGCTCCACGGAGATAAGGTCCTGCCCTCTCGCTTGACCTCTGAGACGCGTCCTCACTCTGGATCTGCACTATGAGCAGAATAATGAATGCTTTAAGATTTCAACTGGGTAAATCAAGACACATGTGCCACGTTGGTTGGGTCAGGACCCAGGTGCTGTGGGAGTTAGAGGGTGGAGTACTCACATTGGCACGGGGGAGCTGACCCCTCCTTCATCCTGCGTGTGAAGAAGGCGCCTCCTTCGTTTGGGGCATGCTGTGTGCTGTTTCCTTTAGCTTCGGAGGTTCATGCAGGGCCTGTGTGAGGCTCAAAGTCCGGTACCATCCAGCGGGGGCTTGGATCCTTTGCTACTCGGGAGAGGGTGCTGTGCTGTGATGCCCTTCACCCCACCCAGATCAATGAACGAGGGGCAGGAGGAGGGGCCGCCAGTGACCCTCCAGGAAGCACTCTGTGCAGGGGCCACTCCAGACGCTGTGCAGGGGTGTCTAGCTGTGGGTGACAGCAAGGACACCCAGCAGGAGTTTCCAGCTTGGAGGCGCTGCGGATACACAGCCTGGGCCACCTGAGCTGCTTCCCAGACTTCCTGCATGTGTGGGGTCCCCAGGGGTGCTGGATAGAGTGTGGGACTCACATCCGTGACTTCAAGGCCACGGTGCTTGGGAAGCTACATTTAAATGCACAGCAGGACCCATGTGGCTTCTTGCGCATGGCGTGTGTGGAGGAGCTTGTGACGTCTCCCTGTGCTAGGAGGGTTAGCTGACATCTGTAGCCTTAAGGTGCTCTCCGTAGATGTTTCTCCTTTCTTCCTCTCATGATCCATGTGAAAGATCCCAATAGAACTAGGCCTCATTCCCAGTAGAAATAAAGAACATTAAACCCAAGTCTGGGGTTTAAAAAAAACAAACTCTGCTGATCTCTGGATACACGCATCAGAGAAGTGTGGCCCAGACCCATGGCCCTTGGGAGCTCAGTGTCCTCCATCTCCTGGGCTGCTTCCTGCTCGGAGGGCCACCTCCTCCGCTGTCCAGGTCTGCAGCCAGGAAAGACCCCTCCCTGCTTAGCAAGTGCTTGTCCAGCTTCCTGGGACCATGGGGTGACATGGGGAGCATGTGGTGGGGCCAGGGGAGAAACTCAGCTACCCCAGGGAAACGGACGCAGGAGCATGCTCAGACCCTCGGGCAGACCAGGCATGACGGTCACGTGGTCCTGGTCCTCACTGGGCTGTTGCCTGGGGACAGCAACCAGGCCTGTGGAGGTTAGGGCTGAACCCGTGCGATCCTGGTGCTGCTCTTTCTCTGTGAAACAGTCTCAGAAGTCACCGCAGATGCTCAACCGGTTGTGTCCCTAATCTGAGCTTAATCTGAGGTGCCAGGATGCTGTGGGTAATAGGAAGGTCTCATGATTTCACCTCCTTTGGAGAATGACAGCATGCACTAGCCATCGTACTTAATGGCTGCATCTAAAAACTGGTTGTGTAGAATAGAGAGCCGCGCAGTACCGGTGGCCACCTTAAGGCGAGGCTTGCACCCAGCCCAAGCCATCCTGAGCACCTAGTGAAGGGGTCAGTGACGCCTGCTCACTGGCTTTTCTCAGGATCCAGCAGGCGAGACACCCCCCATCACCGCCCCTTCCTGTTCTGGCCCCCTCCTCCCTTTTCCCCTCCCTAACTCTCTGACCTAAGCAGCTCATTGGGGACCCAAAGGCTCGCCCCCGTCAGTTTAATATGAGGATTGCAGGGAAGGAGTCAAAGTGTGGGCTGGGTATGAACCTCCCTCACCCCAGCCTGGGCAGGAGGCACCCGGACAGAGCAGGGTGCAGTTCCTAGATGGAACCCAGCGAGCTGAGTTCTGTCTTTCTCTCGCAGAGGTGGTCGACCAGAAGGCTGTGTATCTCTTCAACCTGAGCTCCATACAAAACTCGGAGATGATCCTCACGGCCACCTTCCACTTCTACTCCGAGCCGCCTCGGTGGCCCCGGGCGCGCGATGTGCTCTGTAAGCCTCGGGCCAAGAGCGCCCCGTGCCGCCTGCCACCCCCGGGCCCCGCGCGCCTGCACGTGCTCTTCCGCAGCCTGGCACAGAACGCGGCTACGCAGGGGCTGCTGCGCGGGGCCATGGCCCTGGTGCCCCCGCCGCGCGGCCTGTGGCAGGCCAAGGACATCTCTGCCATCGTCAAGGCGGCGCGCCGCGATGGTGAGCTCCTCCTGTCGGCCCAGCTCGACTCTGGGGAGAGGGACCCCTGGGTGCCCAGGCCCACCCTCCACGCTCCCTACATCCTCGTCTATGCCAATGACCTGGCCATCTCGGAGCCCAACAGCGTGGCAGTGACGCTGCAGAGATACGATCCCTTTCCTGCCGGGGACCCTGCGCCCCGCGCTGCCGCCACGCGAAACAGCTCCGCGGACCCCCGCGTGCGCCGGGCAGCGCAGGCCTCCGGGCCGCTGCAGGACAACGAGCTGCCCGGGCTGGATGAGCTGCCCGCACGCATGCCCTTGGCCCCACACTTCCACAAGCAGGAGCTGTGGCCCGGGCCGTTCCGCGCACTGAAGCCCCGACCAGCGCGCAAGGAGCGCAAGCGAAAGGGCCAGGACTCCTTCCCGTCCACCGCCTCGCAGGTGCTGGACTTTGACGAGAAGACCATGCAGAAAGCCCGGAGGAGGCAGTGGGACGAGCCGCGGGTCTGCGCGCGGCGGTACCTCAAGGTGGACTTTGCAGACATCGGCTGGAACGAATGGGTCATCTCCCCCAAGTCTTTTGATGCTTACTACTGCGCGGGAGCCTGTGAGTTCCCCATGCCCAAGGTATGCCCGTTGGAGCCCTGCCCCGATTGGTGGGAAGTCCCCCTGCCTGTGTGACTTCCGGTTACCACGTGAGGCGTGGAGATGATACCTCTCTTCTAGAGAGGCAGGAACAAACAGACAGAGGTGTAAACAGCCCCTAGATGTATATGGTCTGTCTGTGCTTTGGAAAGCTTGGCTTGGTCCAATTGCAATTTTTCGCTCAGATCATGTCTTCTGAAAAGCAGAACCATCTCTGCAGAAGGGCATTCCCAGCAGCTTCCAGCTATGGAGGCTCCCAGTGCTGCCCCACGGACAGGGCAGGTCCCAGAGCGTCTCCCTGGCCGCAGCGCTCTTGTTCCTAGCTGGGACCCCACATATGGGTGCCCATGACCAATGAGGTGCTAGGCGCAGTGACTCCCACTGTGGGCTCCCTCCCTCTCTGGCTCAGGGCACTCCCCGGGGTGGGGATCCAGCAAGACACAGCAGCGCAAGGCTATTTTATTGCTCTGGCCCTGAGCTGAAGCTGCCCTTCCCCTGGGCCGACTGTGGCTCTGTGCCCCTCTGGGCGGGCAGTGCGGCCCTGTGAACCCCTGACCCCAGGACGGAGCTTCCTCCTGCTTGCCCCTCCAAGAAAGGAAGTCATTGCATAAATCCAGTTTGATCCTCACTAAATCAGACCGGTGAGAAAGCACAGGCCCGGATGTAGGCTGTCTTAAACTCTGCGAATCAAGGGGCTTCTCCTGCAAGCCTGTACAGGAGAAAGCCAGGGAGGAGCCTGGCCGAGACAGGGGCTCCTGGAGAACTTTGCAGAGGCGTGGGGCAGATGCAGGGCCAGAGCTCTGCAGGCGTGCGCCTGGTTGACCCCAGGCTTATCTTATCAGCCTGGCTTGGCAGACATCAGCCAGAACACCAGCTGGAGCCTCGCTTATGCAGGTGTCCCTGTGCTGCCCCTCCCCCATCGGCTGCATCTCTGGTGGCCAGCAGTGTGCTGGAGCAAATGACAGCCGTGTCCACCTTGTCAGAGGTGGACATGTGTGCCAAGCCAGGTCGCTCTCTAACTGAGGGCACTTGGTCAGGCCTTTTAGTCACTGTAAGCCCCAGTGCCTTCCCTGGTGACGTCAAGGTCATAGTTACCCTAAAAACCGATAATTTGGCAAAACGAGAGGATGCCAGTGATGCTGCAGCCAGGGTGCCGATTCAGGCACAGCTGGGGAGTGTCTAGGTCCAGCCCCCAGCACAGGCCAAGGCTGCCCTTCAGCTTCCCTAATGATTTCAGGATTAGGCTGCCTCTGCCAGGCTCCAGGTACTCCTTAGAGATGCGTGGCGCGTGGGCGCCGCCCAGTGGTCAGTGCCTTGACTTCAAAGGGAGCGCCTGCCCTTTAACTCAGCTTTTCTTCTGGGTGACCATTTCCAGGGGTGGGTGAGTGTGAGTGGACAGAGCATTGAAGTGACGCTGCTACCTTCTCATCTTACAGATTGTCCGCCCGTCTAACCACGCCACCATCCAGAGCATCGTCAGGGCCGTGGGCATCATCCCGGGCATCCCAGAGCCCTGCTGCGTTCCGGACAAGATGAACTCGCTCGGGGTCCTCTTCCTGGATGAGAACCGGAACGTGGTTCTGAAGGTGTACCCCAACATGTCTGTGGAGACGTGTGGCTGCCGGTAAGGCCGTTCTAGGGAAGGCAGCCTCCCCCAGCGGAGCAGCTGCAGGTGCCAGGGGAGCAGGTGCCTGCCGGAGCCTGAGGCAATGCTGCTGGATCCAGAAGGGTCTTGGGTCTTCACTGCCGGTGACAGCCCCCCGAATGCTTCCCGAGTCCACAGCCTGAAGGAGTCCGGAAGCAGCCCTGGCCTGAGGGTCACCCAGCGACTCACTGTCCTCAAGGCCTGCAAACCAGGCAAACCCAGGGCATTGGACTGTGCGTTCATCTCAAAACTTGGGAGAACTGTGCATATCTAGGGGTGTTCAGCCCTCCCGTGTAGAAAGATCCTCGCTGTAAAGGCTCAGTTTAAAACTCTTCAGGCTACAAACTGGAATTCCACTCCAATGCAGGCGCTTTTCTACACACAATCTGCACATATAACCAACCGCTGTGGGTTTCTTCCTTATTATATATATTTTGTTTTGAAACAAAGGGTGGGAACGGGCACCATTCCCCACAGAACCGCTGTGGGTTTCTTCCTTATTATATATATTTTGTTTTGAAACAAAGGGTGGGAACGGGCACCATTCCCCACAGAACCGGGCGGGCTAGGTTGAGTTGTTTCTATGAGTATGGAAGTAACATATACAGTAATATGTTGGAATACTAAAAAATAACCAAGATTTTATATTTTTGTAAATTATACTTTGTATACTGTAGATTGTGTATGTTCTGTGTTTCTATGGAAAGCTAATAAACTAAAGGGGTGGTGGCAACTTGAAAAAGTCAACTGTCCCCCATTTTCAAACACTGATCTATTCCACTCATCTGAGTCTAATGTCTGGGTGGCTTCCAGGGGACATGGGGACTTTTAGGATTGGTGGTGGCCCCAAAGTCATCTCTCTCTCTCTCTGCCCCAATCAGCAAAAAGCTAGCGAGCTGCTCCAAAGCCTTGTAAGACCCGCCCCACCCCCTCTGGTTTGCAAATCCCCACCCCAGCTGGTCTCGAGAGGGCCATGGCTCCATGCAGGCACAGTGGCCTGCTGGGAGGTGACCAGGACATGTCAGGCCTTTAAAGGACAACTTGCATTTGCCTGTGCTCCTATGAGAGGCTTTTTACGTAGGGTAGCTCAAACAGGAGACGGCACTCGGCCCCTGGCCCTGTGTTCTCTTACACATGTTTGTAGAACAGCTGCAGAACTGTCACCAAATAGCCACCCCCAGATGGCTTGGTTATGCCTGACATTGGCATTGCCCCTCTGGCTGGCATTCTGAAAAGCACCTGGGTCCAATTCAAGGTAGATGTATTCCAACCCCATCAGAGGAACCTGAGAGGGCAGCATGGCCCTGAGTCAACCCATGGGGACTTCGCAGTTGCTAGGGTTCAGGGGCAAGGGAAGCCTGGAGACTCAGGTGGAGTCCTGAGCCCAGGGCCCCCATGCCGGCTAGGAAAGAGCCCTCCCTGCCAGAGACAGCACAGGTAAGGCAGCACAGAGGGCCTGCAGAGGGGCGTCCCAATGCACCAGCGCAGATCTGGGGTGCCTCAGCTGTAGCCCAGTCTTGAGGTGGGGAGCCTGGGAGTGCAGCTCCTCCAGGCGTCCAGCTGCCCTGGGGTGGGGATATGACAGTCCCAGTCCCCCGGCCCTCCTCTGAGGTGCTGTGCTCAGTCTGGAGCAAGCGGGACTCCCTGTGGAGCCCCGCAGCTGGCTGACCCCACCGCAGGCCAGTGGGCTGAAGCAGCGGTTGCTTCCACACATGGACTGCTTGGGTCTCTTCTTCCTGCAGGGCATGTGCTGGGAACTAGAGGCTCCCATCCCACTGAGCTGCTGTAGGTGGCTGGGAGGTCACGGATCAGCTGCAGAATTAGTGCTTGGTCTTCCATGTCTGATCCTTTTCAGGGCAATAGCAGGAGGTAAAGCAAATTTAAATATCAGGGCTTGAAAAGACTCCAGGGCCCTTTCTTCCAAATATAAGAACCTTTGTGTGGCCTGCTCCATCTCCTCTTTCCTTTAATAAAGATGGGGTGTCCTGTGATGGCTCTATTTTATTTCTTCTGGCATCTGTAGTTTGAAGTCTTCATTTCTGGATTTCTGACATGAGGGTGGGGTAGATGCTGGTCAGGAGGCAGGAGGTGCTGTCTTCCCCAAGTGCCCTGTGAGGCTTTGCAGCGTGGAGAGAACGTGGATGCTATATGTCCCGACTCTGCAGTGGAAGGAGCTGGTGGCATCAGGGATCCCTGTGGCTCACAGAGCAGCCTACGGTTTAGAGATGATGTCTGGTTTCATTTCAACAGCCTTGCAGCCTACTGTCAGATTAGTGCCACAGAGAAACTGTCACCTGTCCACTAATGTCTTCCCGAGGTCACGGATTGGTGCCCACAACTGCCTGCATCAAGGTCCACATGGCTGGTCCTGCTCAGACTTCCCAGCAAGTGACCCGGTCTGCAGGTCTATTGGGATCGTCCAGTGTCTCTGGTGAAGCCAAGGGGAGTATCTCAGGGGATTCATGGCCATGTGTCCTTCACTATCATAATTTCTCAAACTTTAAACACACTGCATGTTTAGGCCAGCCTTTGTGCACATCCTCTGGAAAGATCTGGCATCCTGGGGACAGCGTGTGGCCAGCACTGATAGCACAGTGAGCAGTTGGTCACTCTTAGGCTGGAGAAGTCTCTGGGAAGTTCTGACACAACTCTTTTCCTCTAGAAGTGGCAGGACTGGGTCCTGGTGTTACCAGACATGTTGCCTCGGGCATCCCAATAAGTGCTTCTGGGTCTGGGTCATTCATAGAACACCACTGGTCATCTGTGCCTATAATTAACACTGGACTCCAACATCTGTCTCAGATAACCAAGCATCTGGGACTCCCGTGCTCCTCCCACTCCCCAAGGTGGTGATGTCCATCCAGGCCGTGGTCCTCTCTTTACTCAGCATGGTCCAGCCTAGGCTCCCTCCTCTGACATCTCAGAGCAGTTATTTGTATAATCAGGGGTGCAAAGGACTCAGCCAGAGAATGACGCCCCTGCGCCCTGTGATTACCCCACGTTAGCACTCAGTGGGCCAAGCTCCTGGCTGGGCAGCTCGGCCAGCCTTCTGTGTCTGTGGCTGCCAGAGCCTCAGATTCAGCCCGCCTCGGGCTAAAAATAATTCGTTTTGAATCGCCTTTGTGCTGGCGGTGTGGAGGCTTTTCATAAACAGGACAGTACAGCAACTACAGTATATTTTTACTATATTGCGAGTTTTAAGTAACCTCCAGGTGATTTAAGGGGAGACATGGGTAAGTGATACTCAAATGCCAGAGCATTTGTAATCGACATGGGAACAGTTATGACACTGCACATATCCGTGAGGTACAAAGTGCTATTGCAATATAAGTACACAACATACAGCCATCACCTCAGGTAGGAAGGGACTTACCGGTCACCTCAGATGTGCTTAGCAAGCTGCGGCCCTGATTCCATCCCTAGGGTCAAAAACAAACAAAACAAAAAACCCACCAGAAGCCATCACTTCCATGTCTATGGACTATTTTAAAACAGCCAATCAGCTATTGCCATCAGAATTACCCTGCTGTGTGTAGACCATCAGAAGGTATTCCTCCTGCCGCCCTGTACCCCTGTACCCACTCACTACGCTGCAGGTGTTTCACCCAAAGGACTTGAGCATCCGCAGGGAGCTACTGGAACCAATCTCTCCTGGCCAACTGTCCTACGTACTCCTGGTACACAGAGGGACTCTCAGCATGCTCGAGGCCCTGGGACCAAAAACGAAAACAGTTTGCAAACCTGAACACACATCAGAATCATCTGGAGGGCCTGACCCAGGTGCAGGGTCCACCAGCTTCTGACCAACACTGAGATTCTATTTCTATCCAGGCCCCAGGGGCTGCCCCTGGCCCTGGACCCAAGTTGAGATCCACTGTTCAAAGGGAGCGTTGTGGGCGTGGTCACCAGCTGGGAGGGAAGCAGGATCCCAGGGGCTGACCTGGAGCTGGGAGGGGCCCCAGACTGCTCTGCCTGGTCCCAGCTGTCTCCTCACACCCAGGGTGAGAGGTTTCATTCCTCCGAGCAACCTGCAGGTGGGTGTGGATACCAATCATTGGGGCCCTCTCTCCTGGGACGGAAGGGGTCCCTGACTCGAGGAGGTCACCCTGTTGCAGAAGCTCAGGGGATCTTTCTCAGTCTGTGATCAAGGGTGAAGTTAAGGTCACTGCTTGGACCTGAAACAGATGGCTGAGCCGTCTGACACCATCCAGGTGTCAACAGGAGAGGAGGAGGATGAAGCTGAGCTGCCTGTGGTCAGGGAGAGAGCTCAGGCTGCTTGGCACCTGCATGGCACAGTCCTCCCAAGAAAGACCAACTATCCTAGGGTCCATCCAGGGGGACCCAGCTGCTCACAAGGGACGCAAAGGTTGCATGACCAAGGGAGTCCTGTGCGTGGTGGGAGTGGCTGGGAGGGCAGGCATCAGGAGGAGAGAGGTCCAGCTCTGACAGCAGGCTGCCAGGGCGGGGGCTCTACAGAGGGGAAGGTAAACTACCCGGGATGGGGTCCTGGACACAGTGACTGAAGGGTCACTGTCCCCTGGACAGTGACAAACAGGGCTCTGAGCATGGTCTCAGGCCAATGCAGGTGAGGCTTGGCCAGCAGTGCAACCTTGAGGCTGAAGTCTGCAGGGTGGGCAGATAAGCAGGGGGCTGGCCAGGTATGGAGAACACCACCTACTCCTCAGGTCTAAGCCAATCAGGATGTTGGGTTTCCCCAGCAACCTTGATTGGCAGGGACTTAGGCAAATGATCCAATCAGGGCCAGGGAAATCATGAGACTCACCAGGACTTGCTGGCCAGAGGCTTCTGCTCTCCCACTCCTGAGGGCACAGGGAGGGCCTGAGGCTGGCTTGGTGGACAGTGGGGGCAGGGCTGAGGGGAGGGGCACAGGAGCTCCCCCTCCTCCAGCTCAAGCTGTCCTGAATCCAAACTTCCAAGGAATTTTCTGGTTAAGGGACATAACTATGAAAGAAAAACCCACGTGTACCTAGGAGGAAACCAAGCCTGTGGACACCATACTTTGTATACTAAATGATTTCAGAGGTAAATCAAAGGTGGACGGCGCGGATACTTGAGTCTGGGTTGTCTTATATCTGCTTTTGATTTATCTAGGAATAGAGTCAAAACCACCATAATTCAGATCTTAGGTCGTTGAATCATCACGAGGATGGACTTTCCTGGGAAAGTAAGTGAGGAATTAGGAGGTGCACAGTTTCGGGGGGTAAATGAGATTTTCTGTGGCTCAGTCAAGGCTGCCCCCTCCTGAGGCCCAAGCAACAAGACTTGGTGGGAGGAAAGGGAGGGGGTCCTTCCAAATGAGAGTCTCAGCAAAGCAAGACCCAAACCTTGTTCCCTGCAGGAGCTCGGGGGATCTGTTCAGATAAGCCAGGGTCAACTGGGAAAGATCTGAAGGCCCTGGCCATCACTTCCGGAAGCAGGGATTTGGGCTGGTGAAGCAGGTCCCCATAAGAACCTGGAGCTTTGTGCAAAGGGCAGGTGGAGGTGGTCAGTCCCAGGGGCAGGGTTCAAGAAAACAGGTAAGTGTGGGAGAGAAGGCCTGGAAAGCTTACGGGGGACACCTCCAGCAGAAACCTGGACCAGCCGGCGTACCTCAGACAGGCGGACCCTCCCCAACAACAAAGCCAGGACTGTGACCCCAGCAGGTGGCCACTACTGGGACCCTTCTCTCCCTCCCCTTCCATAATATTCAGAGCTCGCAACCCCCACCCCTGCCCTTGGACTTCCTGATAATATCATCAGGGTGCCTGGTGGGAATGAAGTCAATAAAGAAACGGGGACTTATGGATAGGCTGAGCTTGGGGGTGGTGCTCTGTCCAGCTGTGGGGAGCTGGGAGAGGCCATGGGACAGGCACCCAGGCAGCCTCCAGAGCCAGATGCAGTGACCTCTTACATAAACAAGGCCACCGCCCCTTATCTGCGGTCCCCAAGCTCAAACCCTTCTGGAAACTTCAAGTTTCTTTTTAGCTTTAGGCAAACTTTGACCTGCAGGCATGTTTTTGTGTTTCTGTATTTGTCTCACTGTGGAAATGTTATGTGTTGGATGATAGGCATGGTCTCCTCTCCCTTCGGGGATGTGACCACACGTGCGGGATGACACTAAATTTTATAAATCTGAAACTTCCTCTGTCCCAAAAATGCCCCCAGTCATCAGGGGTTCAGAGAGGGAATTATAGAGCTTTACATGTTTTAAAACATTAATTGGGCATCGGTGGACATTGATGAGATTGTGGATATTTTTTATTATGGATTTTTAAATTTCCTGCTTTATATATCCCAAATTTTTTGTACTGAAAACTACTGTTATAATCGAGACAAATCCGCAGCATTTACAACAGGGCGCTGGGCAGCAGCCCCTTGCATGTCCCTGACCGCCTGTGGGGTCCTCCCACTCAGCCTCTCCCATGCAGGAGGGTCAGGTAGGGGGCTGCCCACCCCGTGCTTGGCTCCTCCAGCCTGCACCCTGCTGTGCAGCCGAAGCTCAGCCTCTGGGGTTTTCCCTGCCCCCCCCCCCCAATCCCTGTGCTGAGCTGGACCAACGCCCAGCACACTTCCTGTCCCCTCCCCAAACAGCATTTCTGTAGCTGTGCCTGTCCCCACCTCTCCTGGTCATGTCCCAAGGGACAAGGGACAGCAAGTTCTGTCTGATCACTCAGGGATTCCTGGCTTCACCCTTCCTTCCAGGGCATCTCTGCCCACTGCCTGGTATGGGTAGCTCCTGCTGTGTCGCCCTGAACTGCTGCCCCAGGCCCTGGTATTTTGAACTAGGATGTCATGCACAGTAGGGATGGACAAAGGCCCAGTGTGGGCGCCTAGCTCTAAAATAACACAGCCCCTGGGGCCTCAGAAGCCATCCCCTGGCTGTGTATCGGCCTCTGCCCGCCAGGAGTCTGACTCCGGACGCAGAGCCACCTCCAGCCTCCCACCCATGCAGACCTTGCCTCCGTCAGGTTCAGCCCCATGGCCTCCCCACTGATCTGAACCAAGACCCCACTGCCCTTGACAGTGACTGTGCTGGAATTCTGGATGGCAAGATACACGTGCTTGTGGCACTGCCCGGAGTAGCCCCTGGTGGACACTGGCTTCTTCCCCAAACTACAGAGCCAACAGGGACAGCCTGAGTGCATCACGACCTTAAATGCTGACCACTGTCCTCTGAACTACAGTGACCTGCCCGACTCATGCTCCCAGGGAGGAAGTGTGGGAGGAGGATTGGAACCCGCTCCCAAGTCCTCCCTGTCACACTGACTTAGGCCAGCTCGGACACACTGCGTCTCCGAGCCCTGCGCACGGGAGCCTGGCCCCGTGAGAGCAGCCAAGCCACCCTGGCAGGTCCTGATGGGCCCTGACAGAGTCCCACACCCCACCCACTCTCGTGACCCCAGATTTGTGACGTCTTCTGGGTACTCTGTGCTGTTTCTATGTCCAGAGGTCTTTTTCATATAGGACCTCCAAAAGATAAAGGGGGAATTCTGTGACTCCAGGCTGCTAGATGTTAGAACCACATTCCCCCAAATTGAAGAATGAATTCCGAGGAACGGCAGATGTTAAGAGGAGGAGAAGATACTCACTGAGGGGGACAGAGACAGCTCCTGAGGGACAGCAGGAGACCTGAATGGGCTGTGCAGATGTCACTTTACTGAGGGAAGTTTTACAGAGCAAAATCACAAAGTAGGTGCAGAATCACAAGGTGGATACAACGTGGGACAAAACTAGGATCAACCAGTAGAATTCTGAGTACAGCCACTGAGGTCAGGTGATCCAGCTCGTGTAGCAAGCGACGTGGAGAAGATGAGGCAGGAGGTCCTGGTCACCCACCTGGGTGACCAATGGATGCCTAGCTAGGTTTATTGGACCAGGTAATACTAATCAGGTAATGCTAGTATACCGGGTAACACCAGGTAATCCTAGTACATTGCACATCCCCCAGGGGGTGTGTAGGTATTCTGTCTTCATCTTGAGGCCGGCCTTCAGGGGACGCACCACCAGCGACATCCTCTCACTTCTGCTCTGTCCCCTTGGGGGCCCAGCCCCTCCTGAAACCGCTGTATTTCTGCCTCACTTAGCTGTCTGTGATATTCTCAGTGCTGTTTCTTGGATTTCTTGCCCCTTGGCCCAGGAGAGGGGCGGTGTCACCCATCTGCAGAGTCTTCCCAACGGAGCTGACAAGCAAACCAGCCAGGGTCCCAATTAGCAGGAGATAACCCAGTGCAACGCGGACCTTTACGGCCGGCTGCATCCTTCCCACAGGCCTGAGTGCCGGCCCAAGTCTCGGATGTTTACAGAGCCTTCGTTAACAAGAGCTGCCTCAGATAACGGGCCTGGCGCAGTGAAGCCAGATAAGGCAAAGGGCTGGACAATCCAGGATGCAGGGCGAGCCTGTGCGCCCCAGGCGCTCCCTGCAGATCCCTCGGCAGGATGATGCAAGCCCAGGGCGGCCTGGCTCCTTTGGGCACCTGGTAACACATCACCACTGCTGCCACGGCCCTGTGGCCTGCTCTGCAGGGCCCAAGATGTCCCGTGGGGCTCTGTGGGTGGCCCTGCTCGTGCCGTCCCTGCTGGCCTGCCCCGTGCAAGGGAGGCCACTGCAGAGTGAGTGGCAGATGCCACCAGGGGAACCCGGCAGCGGGCGGCAGGAGGGCACTATGGACCTGACCGTGCTCCTGGAGAACATGAAGGTGGACTTCCTGCGGGGCCTCAACCTGAGCAGCGTCCCCTCCCGGGTCAAGACCAGGCTGGAGCCACCGCAGTACATGATTGACCTGTACTACAGGTACACCTCCGACAAGTCGTCCACCCCGGCCTCCAACATCGTGCGCAGCTTCAGCGTAGAAGGTATGGGCCAGGGAGGGGCTGGGGGAGTAAGCCGGGGGGCGCCCTGGCTGCCAATGGGGTGGCGCATGACCACATGCAACCCTAAAGGTTCCCATTGGAATTAATTGCAATGGCATGAGAGGAAAGTACAGTTCTTTCCTTAAGTAACCAATCGTTGTGTGTGGCCCGTGGTGGCCTGTAGGGCCCTGCAAGTCACGGCCTACACCGCAACCCAAAAGTCCCAGCAGGCAGCTCTGTCCCAGCCACAGAGAACACTGAGGGCAGCGGTGCCCGGGGTGCCAGCCCGCCTCACCTCCTCGCCCCCCTCTCCCCTCCCTTCCCCGTCTGTCCCCCCACCTCGTTGCCTTCCCTGCTTGTCCTCTTCTCCGGCTCCTCTTCCCTCTGTCTCTTCCTCCCTTCCCTCCTCCTCCCAGCTTGGAAACAGCTTACTTCCCACCCAGCTGACTGCTGTGTTTTTAAACTTTGGAAGAACACTTGTACCTCTTCGTGATGTGCTCTGACAACCCAATGACAAAGCCTTTGGACAGAAAGTGTCAGACACCTAATTTTTCTAACCATGAAATTCCCTGGCTCAGAGACTAGGAGAAAGCACTGTCTCAGCCTGTGTCCCCTGCCCGTTAGCCAGGGGGAGCAGCAGAAATGAGTTAGGGCAGTGTGGTCAGCTGTGCAGGTGTGGGGAGCTCACTCAGGCCAGGCACGGATGGGAGCCTGGTCAGACTCTGGCCACGCCCTGCGGTCCATGTGAGCAACATGGCTTCATAGTACCAGTCAAGGGCTGGATGGTGGGCCCTGTACCCTTCCCGGGCCTCAGACCTGCAAATGGTCCTAGGGCTGCACCTTACCCACCTGATAGGCAGAGCACATGTCCCTTACCTCACAATGCATGCTCACGGCTGCTGGATTTCCTGATTGCCCAAAAGAAGAAAATTGGATTTCATATGAGCTTGCCTGGTTTTTCAAATTCTGCCTTTATCTTAAAAAAAAAAAAAATGCAATCCATGATACGCCTGGGGTACGCGCCTTGATCTCTGCCTTAGGGGAAGGTTCAGTTCCCTCAGTCAGCGTCTGAATTATCACATCCCAGGGGCCCAAAAGGGAGTATACAGAGCCTGGTGGAAGCAAGTGTGATGTGCCGACCTGGTCCCGAGCTCCATCAAGCTGGCTAGGGGATGGTGTTTTCTAGGTGTCTGACCACGATCCCCCAGCACTGTCACCCCTGCCCCAGGCAGAGTGCATCCGGTCATGAGGCCAAGGTCCAGATGCCTCACCCAAAGGGCAGCACGTTCCACTGGAGCTGAGCCAGGCAGGATGCTGGGCAAGAGGACCCGGGGAGCAGGTGGAGGGGCCATGTGCCTCATGTGCCCAGGTTAGGAGGGACACGGGCAGATTAACCGAGCATCTGCTAGGGGCCAAGGACCTTGAGAAGGCTTCACACCCACCCTAGAGGCAGGTAGGACAGAAGGAAACTGAGATACAGAGCATCTCAGAACTCTGCAAGGTGGTGAGCCCAAGGAGGGGTGAGGCAGGTTCAGCTCTTCAGAACACGAGGGTCCTGCTTCTGTGGGGACACACAGAGTGCCCACGTTCCAGGTGCCTTCTGAGGTTCCGCCCAGTCCACACATCAAGTGAAAACCCCAGAACAGGCCTTTCCTAGTTCTGAATAACTGCTATTACACCACGTTGCATTCTGTTTTACTGAATCATTGAGTCTCTTTCTGTGCCTGACCTAGACATTAACTCTCCTAAGCACGCACGTGCAGGGAGAACTGGATTTTTCCAGTACTAGAAGTGTCCCTGGGGCTGAGGACCATGTGCCCTGAGGACAAGGGGCTGATCTGAGCGCCCAAAGCCAGGCCAGTTCTCTTCCCCTATTGGGATAGCACAATGGCCAAGTATTAGTCGAGGAGACATGGGAATCAGAGAGGATTATACGGCTGAGAAAAGCCTCCTGTTGGGCTTGCATAGCAAAACCACCCACCCGCACTGTGCTTGAAAGCTCCAGTTCCAAATGGTGGTTCAGAGGCTGCTGCGATGGGCTCCGGCTGCCTGTCAGTGAGTTCCCTTGGGATCTTCACACTGAGGCTGCCAAGGCTATGTGGTTTTCTTTACTGATCGTGCATTGGAGCCGTGTGCATTTTGGCAGTTCGATGCCTTGAGTCTCTGTCTTCCTGTCTGTAAAAGAAATTCCCATGATGGCCAAGCTCTCGGTGAAAACACCAGTGATGTAGCGGACAGTAGGAAATGTCGACCCCTACTGGTGGCATTGTTTCTGCTGTCCCGTGGAAGGTTCTAGGCAACCTTTCAAAACGCTTTTCCACCGAGGGCTTAAAGGGAGTTGAACAGAGATAACGGGAAAAAACTGTCCTCCCATGAGCCCTGCACCCAGACCTGGAGGCTCAGCTTTCGGGTCATGAGGGTAGAAGCTCCGGCCATGCCAATCCCATGTTGTGTCTTTGCATTTTAGATGCCATCTCCACGGCGGCCACCGATGACTTCCCCTTCCACAAGCATATCTTGCTCTTTAACATCTCCATCCCCAGGCACGAGCAGATCACCCGGGCCGAGCTCCGGCTCTACGTCTCCTGTCAAAACCACATGGATGCCCTCCGTGGGCTGGAAGGGAACATGGTCATCTACGACGTCCTGGATGGAGAAGGCGCCTGGGATGGTGCCTCGGGGACCAGGACCTTCCTGGTGTCCCAGGACATTCGGGGCGAGGGCTGGGAGACATTGGAAGTATCCAGCGCCGTGAAGCGGTGGGTCAGGGCGGACTCCTCCAAGAGCAAAAATAAACTAGAAGTGATGGTGGAGAGCTGCAGGAAGGGCTGTGACACGCTGGACATCAGCGTCCCCCCAGGTTCCAAAAATCTGCCCTTCTTTGTGGTCTTCTCCAATGACCGAAGCAACGGGACCAAGGAGACGAGGCTGGAGCTCAGAGAGATGATTGGCCACGAGCAGGAAAGCGTGCTCAGAAAGACACCCAAGAGCAGCCAAGGGGAATCAGGCGAAGGCCACGGGGAGGAGGAGGAGGAGGGGGGCGGGGGGCAGGAGCAGGTCACTGCAGGTCGCTCCTCGGTGGGCTCGTTGTTAGCCAGACACAAGCGGAGCATCGGGGCCGGCAGCCACTGCCAGAAGACCTCCCTGCGGGTGAGGTTCAAGGACATCGGCTGGGACAGCTGGATCATCGCGCCCAAGGAATACGACGCTTACGAGTGCCAAGGTGGCTGTTTCTTCCCCCTGAGCGATGACCTGACGCCCACGAAGCATGCCATCGTGCAGACCCTGGTGCACCTCAAGCACCCCAAGAAGGTGGGCAAGGCCTGCTGTGTGCCTACCAAACTGAGCCCCATCTCCATCCTCTACAAGGACGACAGGGGGGTGCCCACCCTGAAGTACCACTACGAGGGAATGAGCGTGGCTGAGTGTGGGTGCAGGTAGTACCTGCCCAGGGGGCCGGGAGAGGCAGGGGTTCCTGGGGAGGGGCCCTGCACCCCTGGGAACCACAGGGACCATGTGGCTCTGTGGGCCAGCCCGGAAATAGGAAGGGAGACTGCTGTCCCTCTTGTGACACCACTAAGCACACGTCCCTGGGCTCCGCCCCTGGTGACGGGGACATGAGGGGTGTGGACAGAATAGCAGGGTGTCAGGACCTTTGCTTTACAGGCACAGAAACCAAAAGCCAGCCGGCCAGCGAGTGTTCCGCCCAGGTCTGCGTGGCACCAAGGCCTGGGACCTGCCCCCGTGTCCCATGGGTGCAGGGTCATTCTGCACCTTGAGAGCCGCTGATGCTGGGAGGCTGGAGCACTAAGGCCAGGCCGGGCTCAGCACCTGCTCACCCATGCGTTCCTTCCCTGAAAACTGTGCCCAAACCCAGCTGCAGGCTGCAGAGATCGCCTTCAGGACAGCGACCCTCTGGCATGCCCTGTGTCAGGGCCACTGGGACTCTGGGGCCATGCAGAGGTCAGGGCCTCACAGAGGGACCCTGGGGTGGACTCCACTCTGTGACAGTCTTTAGGACACAGCGGGTGTCCCTTGCCTCTGTGGTGACCTGACTCAGCCTGCCTGACTGCCCAGTACAAGGTCACCATGCATGCCCTGCCCAAGGAGACCGAGGGCAGGGCAAGGGTTTGGATTTGTTGGATTTAAATATGCTCTTAATTTGGCATTTGAAAGGTCCTTATTGGCACTCCTTGGGGACACGCAGTCAAGTGATAAGATGGCCAGCTCTCTGGCCAGGGTCCCCTGGCCTGTGAAGGCCTCGGTCTCACTGGCCCCCGCCCGCAGGTTTGTGGAGTCGCATGGGTGCTGTCCCCACGGTCTCCATCTGCTCTGTGTCCTTTCTGTCCTTGGATCCTCCTGCTGCACAATGAGCCTGCACGGTGTGAAGAAGAGGCTCAGAGCCCCGAGGGCTCCCCTCGGGCACGGCGGGCCCCTCCCTGTGGAAGGGAAAATCCCCAAGCTAGATGCTCACACAGCGTCAACGAGCACCTTTAACGCAAAATCACCATGAAACCCGGACTTCAACTCCTGGATCTGGCAGAAGTGTGAATTCCTGCCAGCCACAGGGCTGTGCCGGGGCAAGGCGTCCTCTTCCAGTCCTGGGGGTGCGTTTCTGTGTCTGTGCAAAGCTCCACTTGGAAATAAAGTCAGAGTCCGTGGTGAGGCCTTTCTTGAATGTCAGGCCAGGGTCCGAGGGCGCTGTGATGCCGCCTGCCCAGGAGCCCTGAGCTGCGCTGTTCCTTACCGGGTGGGGGATGGAGAGGACACGGAGACCTGGAGGACACAGTGTGCAGTGTGCACGGCGATTGCACACGGGGCTGTGTGAGCAGGAGTTGTGAGCAGCTGCGTGTGACAGGACTGGCTGAGCCCTCGCCAGGACACGGGAATAGCTGCGGGTCACCTGAGGGGTCCAGGCCCCCTCCGCCACTCGCTGCTCTGAGCTGCTCCCTCTCCACTCTCTCCTCCAGGCTTCCCCAGTCCCACGTCCTGAAGGTCCTGGAGCTCAGTCCACCACCCTCAGCCCCACTCCCACCCTCCCGGCTCTGCGCTGTGTGGGCACAGGGCTGGGTCCTCGAAGGTGAGGACCTGAGCCTTGTGCCTTGTCCCCCCCAGAGGGCCCACAGCTCAAGGAAAACCCACAGTCACACCTTCAGGACACAGCACAAAAGGGGAGACCTGGGAGACCCTGGGCTTCCCCGCTGCCCCTGGACACCCTGGCCAGCTGCCCCCTCACCGAGGTCCAGAACTTGTGGTGACAAGAAGACTGCAACTCCGGTGCACAAGGGGCTCTTCCGGGAGCCTCCGATGCTCAGGTACCATGACAGAGGCACTTAGGCCAGGCTCTGCTTTAAGGAAGTGTGGTGTACATCTGCAATCTCAGCACTCTGGGTAGCTGAGACAGGAGGACCGAAAGTTTAAGGGCAGCCTGGGCAACCTCGAGATTTAACAAGATCCTGTCTCACGAAATGGGTGGATGGATGGATGGATGGATGGATGGATGGATGGATGGGTGGATGGATGGATGGATGGATGGGTAGACAGGCGTACAGCAGACAGACAATAGATAGCTAGGTGATAGATATTAAGTAGATAGCAGATAATTGAGAGATAATAGATACCTAGATAATAGATAGACGATAAATAGGAACAGAAAGAAAATACTAAATAGATATAGATGATAGATGATCAATAGACAATACACAAGTAGATAGTAGGTAGAAAATATAGATAATAAATGATAGATGGAAGACAGGTCATTGATAGATTTAAGTAGATAATAGATAACAGACGAGAGTAGATAAGATTGGGATGCAGCTCTGTACAGCGACTTTGGGTTCAAACCCAAGTACCGAAAATAAGTGAGTTAAATATATAAATGTCTTAGTGTTCAGAAAATGTATTTTGCAGAGCAAAAGAAAGGAAACTGCCTAAAATGAACAATAGAGGAGTAATTTAATGAACTCTGTCCCTCCAAAAAGAGGCAAAAGATTAAAGCAGACAATTCACCAGCGAAGGTGGACCCGGATAGCACAGAAAGGGAACTCACCAGCCTCAAGTATCAGATGCAGGTGGAAATCACAGGCAATCTGTCAGGACAGCCAGTGTCCACAAGTCCTCCCTGGGTATCCGTGTGCAGGAACTGGAATTCTCAGGGCTGCTGATACATTTAAAACTTCATAAAACACTTAAGACATTTCTTAAAATGCTAAGTGCACATTCATATCCTGTGTACTCTCCCCTTCAAATAAAAAGATATTGATCTGCATGAAGATCAAATGCAAATATTCCTGCCAGCTCTGTAACAGTCCTGTACTTAGATACCCTGGCGATTAATGACAAGGTGAGTGGGTAACAGTTCCTGGTTGGGCTGTACAATGAAACATTACACAGCTGTGAAAAATAAAATCACGGACCGTTCAACAACCTCAGAGGACGGGACACCAAAAGAGCACAAGGAAAACTTGGTAATAATCATAATCTATGTTATCGAACCTATGCCTAGGGTTTCACGGTCTGCCCAGGTGTTGGATCTCACCAAATCTGCATTTCATGGATGGGCAACTTATTCTGTGTCAATTACACATCAATTAAACTGTAAAATAATGCACACTCATTGTATAATTGAAAAGTTCCTGGAAAAAATATAATAAAGAAAACAAGTATCTGTCCCCTGAATCCAACATGGAAGCCCATTGTTAAGAATTTTATACAGAACCACGGCTGGGGATTTAGCTCAAGCGTAAGCGCCTGCTTGGCAAACACACACACACAAAGAATTTTATACAGAATCAAAAAGCACTGATTCCAGGCTGGGGATTTAGCTCAGGGCATAAATACCTGCCTGGCGAGCGCAGGGTCATGAGTTTGATTCCCCCGTACCAAAAAAAAAAAAGAAAGAAAGAAAAGAAAAAAGCACTGATTCTGAGAATATTTATGTGTGAGAGTGAGAATATTTATCACTATATCATTCATAAAGGAACAAACAGAAACTATTTAAAGATATACCTTTCTGGAAGTCCTGGTCCATTTCTGTTACTATAACTAAATGTCACAGACCAGTTCATTTATAAAGAGTAGAAGGTTATTCCACTTGTATTTCTAGACACTTGGAAGTCATACAGCCTTTTCCTGTATCACAGCATGGCAAGGGATGCTCATGGGAACAAGAGACAAATAAAACTGTCAGGGCTGGCTCTATAACCTGTTCTCCACTTAAAGATGTGTCTCTAACCCACCTTCCCCTGCATTAATGCGTGCAATGGGCCAGGTCCTGCCCCACCTCCTGCCTGGAGCTCTGTGACAAGCAGGGTGATACCATGAGATCTCCGGTACCAACAGGCTGCCGGGCCCCACCATACACAAAGAAGACACTCGTTTAAACAGGAAAAAGAGGTGGAAGAGAACTCCTGTACTCACGACCCCACGGAAGCCGCCGTACAGCGAGCCCTTTCCCAGATCTCCTCTGTGTCCTGAAGGTTTGTATTTTAATCCCATGGAGAGGTCACCGGAAGTGAGTTAACTCAACCTTCCACTTGCAAGTGAGAATACAGACACTGAGATATGCATACAGTTGTGGGGTGCCAAGGGGCCCTGAGGCCAGCCAAGATGGGGTTCACTGGAACAAAGGCCACGGCCCAGGGCCTGACCCAGGTTTTATTAATTCTCCAGAACCCCTGAGAACAAACTTGCCTGCCAGCTTGAGTCTCTCCTCCTGTTTTCAAAAAGCCACCGATGCTGTGATGGGGGCCCCACCCTCACAACCCCCCTAACCCTAATGACCTCCCAAAGGCCACATTCCAGATGCCACTAGCATATAACTCAGAGGATCGAGTTTTAGATGAGTGAGTTCCCCGCCTCACAGCCGGGAAAACAGAGCAGCACGTTGTCAAGGACCGTCGTGCACCCACGGAAAGGATGTTATTGATGCCCTCCTCGACCTGGAAGAAATCTGCACTGTGTGTCTGTGAGTAGTGTGTCTCACCAAGTGTGCTACCCAGGATGCACAGACAGGACAGATGTGAGGCGAACAGATGCACAGTCAGGTTATCAGGGAATCGAAGCTGAAGTAATCAGCCTCCTCCAGGAGGAGGATAGACAGAGACAAGACGGCTCAGTGGCCTGGCTTCCTAGGGAACAAAGCGAAACCTGATCAGCCTCATTTCCCATGTGTGGCTAATTTAAAAGGAAATGAACTTCAGGCTCCACCCCTCCCACGCGGCCCCTGGGCACCACCAGTGTGGCCTTGAGACCTGCGGGGACGGTCCGAAGCCATCACTCAGATTTAACGGAGCAGACCAGTTTCACCCCGTTGTAGGGGAAGCCTGGCCCCCTCCAGGTAGGGCTCGCATTCGGGAGTCCGTGTCTGCTGCTATGGCTTTGGAGCTCAGTGCATGAGGGTCATCTTTTAACAGAGCTTTGCGTGTGACCCACTGTGGGAAAACTCACATAAAACAACAGATGGAGAGATGGACAGGGCTTGGCCAGTTGGTACTGCGAATCATTCTGGCTGCCCCAGCTCTGCCCCTTCCCATCCCTGTCAGCACGCAGGACACCACGTCCCCTTCCTGCCTTCACTCTGGAGAGGGTTGGGGAGTTTCTCCCTACCCACACAGAACCAGTGCAAGGTTTAGGTCTACACACACTAGATACCCCAGGTCCCAAGGGGAGCCCCTGCAGGGAATCCCCCCAGGCTCCGATCGCAGGCAGAGCCAAGCCATCACTCAGCAACCTCTGCTCTGGATCACTTCCTCCTCAGGCCCCTGGCATCCTCACACAGAACCCTCCAGTGGTACCCGGATTTTCCCACAATCCACTTCCCTCTGGAGGGAGCGACCCCATCAGCCAGAAAAGACCTCGTGTCATCCAACCAAGGTCTTGCCCACCCCAGAAAGCAGTGGGGTCTCAGGGCAGCTCCTGAGCCAGGGACTTCCCAGGACACGTGTCAGGAGGGGCCAAGGCGGCCAGCTGTCCCCTGATCACATCCCCTCACTTGCAGGCCAGGGTACTGCGGGTTCCCAAAGAGCCTGAAGAACTCTGGGAACCGAACGCAGCTTCCCTGCCTGCCTTGGGCTGCGCCTAAGGGACAAAGCTTTCCCAGCCCAGGCATCTCGGGGACTCAGGATGGATTCCGGTTGTCCTGCTCACCTCCGTCCGAGAGCTGGGTCACCCACATAAATCAGGACACAGCCATGTCCACGGGTGTCACATCCTGACACTCATCTCTGTACTGCACGGGCCCCAAGGTGCCTTAACCCTGGTCACCCTCAGCCCCAGAGCTTGGCCTGGGCCCCTGCAAGGACGGAGAAAGGCCCTCTGAGGACTGCACCCCAGGCTCGAGCTGGGTTCCCCAGGAGGCAGGGGAAAGAGCACCCGACAGACGTGCTCACCCAGAGGCGTCCGGACCCCCAGCTGCACCTTATTCTTGCAGTAACCTGGGCTCAATCCCATTGGCTGCCAGGGGTGGGGTGATGTGACCAACCGTATGTCACTTGGGCATTAAACAAATCCTAATGAGCTAAAAATGCGTTCGTTTCAGCTAATTGACCTTGTTGGCCTGCATTAACCACTTGGCAAACAGCCTCAGAGAATAATTTCAGAGAGCAGAGGGTGACAGCCCCCGTCTCCCCAAGACCACCTTTGCCAGTTGAGGCGCCCACCTGCTGCCCACCCAGCTCAGGAAGTGGTGCTGGACACAGCTCAGAGGTGCCAGGAAGGGGATAGCCGGAAGTGGCCCTCCCTGCCATTGTTCCCTAGCCGCATGCCTGTGGTCTGAGCCATGGCGGTCCAATGGGTTAAAGGAGAGGACTGTCCCCTAGGTTCTGGCCCATGCTGGGCCTTGTGGACACCTTGACGGGTTAGGTGCAAGCACCATGTCACCTCTGTGAGAAGCAGCAGGAGCCAGGAGGCTCAGAGTTCAGCTGTGCGCCAGGGGCTGGAGTGGGACCAGAGACCCATGTCCTCCAACACACGCTTGCTCCCTGCAAGCCTGCAAGCCTCAGGCAGTGGCTGAGCCCTGAGCCAGCAGGGGTCCCGTTAGCCAGCGGGATGAGCTCTCAGGGCCAACCTTGTCTCACCTGGAGCCCCCTGAGGTCCCCGCTGTCCAGCCACACTCCGTATTCAGGGCAGATGCTTCATCCTTTGCTGTGAGGCGGCAGCTGGCCTTCACCCCAAGGATCAAACCTTCAGGCTGGTGATGGGCTCAGACTCCACCTCCGCAGTGTCCGAGCTGACTGTGCATCCCCAGCTTCTTCCGGCAACCCCACCTGAACGGAACAGCTGGATCCAGTTAGCTACAAATGCTCCGGCCTGTTGGTTTGGCCCCAAAACAGAAAGAGTATCAGCTACTCACCAGTAGCAGAATGCTTCCAGTTTGCTGGGCACTCTGAAGTCCTCTGCGTAAATTTTTCCCATATAATGGATAAAATGAAGGAGATATGTGATCCCTAAGCCCACACGTTAGGCAGTGGCAGAAACAGGTTTCCAACAAGGTCCACCTGATTCCGGGCTATGGGCCACCCACAGTGGTCAGGAAATGTGACTCACTGTCCTCCGCAAGGCTCTAGGGAGACACAGCCAGCAGCCGGCATGTGTCAGGGACTCGGAACGAACTGCGCTTATGACGGCCCCATGTGCACAGACGGCTCCCAAGGCCAGCAGCTGGGCTCCTTCCGGGTCATGTCAGCCGGCCCTGCTCCCGGCCCCCGGCTGATACACCTGAATTAGACAGGATTAAAGGCTTACCAGAGAGGGAAGCCTCCTCCCACGTTGAGCCCCAGACCTTCTGTCCACTTTCTGAGAAGGACAGCCACAGAAGCAGGGTCGCAGCCCAGCACACAGTCAAGGGCTGGGGTGAGGCCCCAGCGTCCCAGCGTCCCCATGATGACAGAATGGGCCGCGCTCCTGTTGGTGCTGCTGTGTGACATCACCAGCCCCACGCACCTGTTCCAGCCCAGCCTGGTGCTGGACATGGCCAAGGTCCTCCTGGACAACTACTGCTTCCCAGAGAACCTTATGGGGATGCAGGCAGTCATCGATCAGGCCATGAAGAGCCAGGAGATCCTGGGCGTCTCTGACCCTCAGACGCTGGCCCGTGTGCTGACAGACGGGGTACAAAGCTCCTTGAATGACCCGCGCCTGGTCATTTCCTATGAGCCCAGCACCATGGAGGAGCTGAAACAAACCCCAGCAGCCAGCAACCTCAGCCAGGAGGAACTGCTGGCCAGGCTGCAGGACAGCATCCGCTATGAGGTACTGGAGAACAACGTGGGGTACCTTCGCGTGGACGACCTCCCGGGCCAGGAGGTGCTCAGCCGGCTGGGCAGCTTCCTGGTGACCCAGGTGTGGAAGCAGCTCATGGGCACCTCTGCCCTGGTGCTGGATCTCCGGCAGTGCACCAGCGGCCATGTCTCTGGCATCACCTACGTCATCTCCTACCTGCACCCCGGGAACACAGTCCTGCATGTGGACACCATCTACGACCGCCCCTCCAACACCACCACGGAGATCTGGACCTTGCCTGAAGTCCTGGGAGAGCGCTACAGCGCCGAGAAGGATGTGGTGGTCCTCACCAGTGGCCGCACCGGGGGCGTGGCCGAGGACATCGCCTATATCCTCAAGCAGATGCGCAGAGCCATCGTGGTGGGCGAGCGCACGGAGGGGGGTGCCCTGGACCTCCAGAAGCTGAGGATCGGCCAGTCCGACTTCTTCCTCACTGTGCCAGTGTCCAGGTCACTGGGCCCCCTGGGCGGAGGCAGCCAGACGTGGGAGGGCAGCGGGGTGCTGCCCTGTGTGGTCACGCCGGCCGAGCAGGCCCTGGAGAAGGCTCTGGCCATCCTCACCCTGCGCCGCGCCCTGCCGGGGGTCGTGGGCCGCCTGCGGGAGGCCTTGCAGGACTACTACACTCTGGTGGACCGCGTGCCGGCCCTGCTGCACCACCTGGCCAGCATGGACTACTCCATGGTGGTGTCTGAGGAGGACCTGGTCACCAAGCTCAACAGCGGCCTGCAGGCCGTGTCCGAGGACCCCAGGCTGCTGGTGCGGGCTGTGGGGCCCCAAGAAATCTCTTTGGGGTGTGAGGCTGAAGTCCATGAGTCCCCTGAGGCACAGCCTGCAGTGCCCAAGGACGAGGCTGCCCAGCAGGCGCTGGTGGATGCCGTGTTCCAGGTGTCAGTGCTGCCGGGCAACGTGGGCTACCTGCGCTTTGACGGGTTCGCGGACGAAGCAGTGCTCGAGGCGCTGGGGCCGTATGTGCTACAGCAGGTGTGGAAGCCGCTGCAGGGCACCGCGCACCTCATCATGGACCTGCGCCACAACCCCGGGGGGCCGTCCTCCGCTGTCCCCCTGCTGCTGTCCTACTTCCAGAGCGCCGAGGACAGCCCCACGCACCTCTTCACCACCTACGACCGCCGCACCAACGTCACCCAGGAGCACTTCAGCCGCGGGGAGCTGCTGGGCCCCCGATACGGCCACCATCGCGGGGTGTACCTGCTCACCAGCCACCGCACGGCCACGGCCGCCGAGGAGTTCGCCTTCCTCATGCAGTCCCTGGGCTGGGCCACGCTGGTGGGTGAGATCACGGCGGGCAGCCTGCTGCACACCTGCACCGTGCCGCTGCTGGAGTCAGCCTCGGGGGCCCTGCTGCTCACCGTGCCCGTGCTCACGTTCACCGACAACCACGGCGAGGGCTGGCTGGGTGGCGGGGTGGTGCCGGATGCCATCGTGCTGGCCGAGGAGGCGCTGGATAGGGCACGGGAGGTGCTGGAGTTCCACCGCAGCCTGGGCACGCTGGTGGAGGGCACCGGCCGCCTGCTAGAAGCCCATTATGCACGGCCCGAGGTGGTGGGGCACACGAGCACCCTGCTGAGGGCCAAGCTGGCACACGGTGCCTACCGCACGGCCGTGGATCTGGAGTCACTGGCCTCGCAGCTGACCGCTGACCTGCAGGAAGTGTCTGAGGACCACCGCCTGCTGGTGTTCCACAGCCCGGAAGAGCTGGTGGCCGAGGAGCTGCCCCTGCCGCCCCCTGCTGTCCCCTCTCCCGAGGAGCTCACCTATCTCATCGAGGCTCTGTTCAAGACGGATGTGCTGCCCGGCCGGCTGGGCTACCTGCGCTTCGATGCCATGGCTGAACTGGAGGCGGTGAAGGCCATCGGGCCACAGCTGGTGCAGCTGGTATGGCAGAGGCTGGTGGACACAGCCGCGCTGGTCGTGGACCTGCGCTACAATCCCGGCAGCTACTCCTCGGCCGTGCCGCTGCTCTGCTCCTACTTCTTCGAGGCGGAGCCCCGCCAGCACCTCTACTCCGTCTTTGACAGGGCCACCTCGAGCACCACGGAGGTGTGGACCATACCCCAGGTTGCCGGAGAGCGCTACGGGCCCCACAAGGACCTCTACGTCCTCACGAGCCACTCCAGTGGCTCCGCGGCAGAGGCCTTTGCTCACACCATGCAGGACCTGCAGCGGGCCACCGTCATCGGCGAGCCCACGGCCGGAGGTGCGCTCTCGGTGGGCATCTACCAGGTGGGCAGCAGCCCTCTCTATGCCTCCATACCCACCCAGATGGCCCTGAGCGCCGTCACTGGTGAGGCCTGGGACCTGGCTGGCGTGGAGCCTGACATCACGGTGCCCATGAGCGAGGCCCTGACCATGGCCCAGGACATAGTGGCCCTGCGTGCCAAAGTGCCCACGGTGCTGCAGACGGCAGGGAAGCTGGTGGCCGATAACTACGCCTCCCGGGAGCTGGGGGCCGAGATGGCAGCCAAGCTGATTGGCCTGCAGAGCCGCTATGCCAGGGTGACCTCTGAAGTCGCCCTGGCCGAGATGCTGGGGGCCGACCTGCAGAAGCTGTCCAGGGATCCCCACTTGAAGACAGCCCATATCCCTGAAGATGCCAAGGACCGCATCCCTGGGATTGTCCCCATGCAGGTGAGTCACACAGGAGGCTCAGTTTGGGGACATAGTGTAAGTGTCAGTCAGGCACGTCTCTCCCTCCCTCTCCCTGTGTCCTGTCCACCCCCTGCGCACAGTGTCCGGGACCCCGCCACGGAGTCTCACTTCTCACGGAGCCCTGTTTCAGTCCCCTGGAGCAGGAGCAGGGTGGTCTTCCTCGGCTAGTGGACAGGAGGAAGTGCAGGAGGCCTCACTGCCGGTGTAGGGAGAGGAGCCAGTAAGTCAGCCGAGGTCCCCAAGCTGTGCGGGGACCCCTGGAAGTGTGGGGAACTGATCCCCCCACCTGCCTGCCTCCCCGCGGGGGGCGTGGTCTGCACGGAGGAGGAGTTGGGGGCAGAGCTGGAGGAGTGGGACAGGGGGAGAGAAGGGGGAGATAGAGTCCAGGTCCTACAGGGGTCTCAGAGCCAAAGCGCAGAGCCATGGTGTGGCCTGTACAGGGCAGCTGGGGAGACAGGGTGAGGCCGCAGATGCTTAGCCCAGGGTCTTGGTAAAGCTGACTGGGTTGTCCCTCCCTCCCTCAGTGGAGGAGAGGAAGATGGGCTGAGGGTGCTGAGGAGCAAGCACGTGGGGAGCTCAGAGGAGTCAGGGGGGGAAACCTTCACAGGCTCCTGCAGCTCAACAGGAGGGCGCCGGGCTGGCAGACAGGAGTCTCCTCTGCAGGGAGGCTGCCCATCAACGGGTGGACCCCACTGAGTCCACCCTAGGTCCTCCCCCACGTGGTCACCCCCCGCCAAGACTCACGTGAACTCCTCCTCGGTCCACACCTGCCTGACCCTGACAGGGCCTCCGTTTCCCCCAGATCCCGTCCCCGGAGGCCTTCGCGGACATGATAAAGTTCTTCCACACCAACGTGCTGGAGGCCAACATCGGCTACCTGAGGTTCGACATGTTCGCAGACTCCGAGCTGTTCACGCAGGTGTCCGAGCTGCTGGTACGGCATATCTGGAAGGAGGTCTTGCACACGGACGCCATGGTCATCGACATGAGGTCAGCAGCCAGGAGGGGGATCCGGGTCACCAGCCCGGGCGGCCAGTTACACGGCTGATGAGGCTCGCCCGGTCGGTGCTTGACTTCCTCTGAAGCCCCCGGGTATATTTCAGGGGGAGCATGACCCCAAGTACATCCATGGCCACTGGAATCAAGTGTAGGGCATAGAATACAGATTCCCAGGCCCCTGCCCCAGCTGCCTGAGTTAGCGGCTCCTGGGCCAAGAGTGACTGAGGTTACCGGGTCACTAGGCCTGTTTGGGACAGCTGAGCCCACACCTGTGCTGTGTCTCACACCCCCACGATCAACCCACCATTGGCCCGGGTCAGGAGGGGGAAAGCTGGGGTCCCAGAAAGAACGTGAGTGGACCGCGGGGGACCAAAGAGGACTCTGCTTCTCACTGGTGTTGTCTTCTGCTATCCGCTTCCCCTCGGCTTTGTATGAGAGCCCCCACCCCAGAGCAGGGGCAGGAGGCGGAGGACCTGCAGACAGGAGCCTCCAGGGCCCGCTGGTGGGCACCCCCCGTGGGCGCATCCCCCAGCCCAGCTGACCACTGCAGCTGCTGGAGCCCGCAAACCGCACCGGACCTGAGTGGCCGCAAGGTGGCGCTGCGCCCCAGAAGGCTGGTTCCTCCCCGAGGGTGACCCCTCCCTGGTTTGCTGCCCAGAGCTAGGTGGGGATCCCGAGGTCCCCAGCAACTTAGGGCGCCTCTGAACACCCGTGCTCTGGCCCTCTCTTCTCCCTTACACCCTCGCTGTTTTTAGAGGAGACGCTCTCAGCCCACAGGTACCTTTCCCTGCACCCCTTCCTTCCATGTCTGGGATCCTCGGGAAGTTGGGGTGCGGGGGGCCACTGGCCCGGAGACCTGCCAGGCCTTCTCCCGGGCCCCGACCGGAAGTGCCTCCAGTGTGTCATCAGCCAAACAGGCTTAGCAAAGTCGCACAGGGGGACAAATTCAAATGGCCTTGGATGGACACGGGAGCCCTCCTTGCAAAGGCTGTCCATGACCCTGAGTGCACTGGCACACCAGGTGCCACTTAGGACGCCCAAACTATGACACCTGGAAGGTTTGGTAAAATGTCAAGGAAACCAGCTGGGGTGAAGGTGGTGCCCAAAAGACTCGGCTTACAGGCAGCGTGGGTGCAGGAGAGCCATGCATTGACAGATTTCTAACTGCAGGACCTGTCAGATCCTTTAAAGAGTTAGCATGCAACCAGAGGGTGGAATATGGGGTTCAGCACTTTCTGACATATCTGACCGCAAAGTCCATTGGTCCCACGTGTCTGTGACTTGGATGCTCTGAGGTCCGAGAAGGCTGGCGGGAATTAGAACCCCCACACACACTAGGGTCAAGGCTCTGGTCCCCAGAGGACACCGAGGGCCATCCGTGAGCCCAGCCCCTGGTCAGCCCCTCTTCCCTCCTCAGGTTCAACATCGGCGGACCCACCTCCTCCATCTCGGCCCTGTGCTCCTACTTCTTTGACGAGGGCCCGCCCGTCCTGCTGGACAAGATCTACAACCGCCCCAGTGACTCGGTCACTGAGCTCTGGACCCATCCCGGCTTGGCAGGCATGTGAGGTGCCCGGTCCCCTGCGGGTCTGATTCCAGGGATTCTGATGCCTGGGAACCAGGAATAGCAACTGGAATAGGAGACTCCAGCCTGGTCCATGCCGTTGGAGCTGTGACCTTCAAATGGGGAAAGCGTGTGCCCATTTTATAGAGGAGAAAAGCGAGGTCTCAGGTCACTAAGCATCTAACAGAAAGAGCCCAAATGTGAATAAGCCGGGAGCAGGCAGGACCGACCAGAGGATCCCTCAGCGGTGGCTCTGAGCACCTTCCTAGATCGAGGGGCTGCATGACCTGCCTCGGACTAGGAGCCAGGCAGCTCCTGAGCTCTACAGACCTGGACTCCAAAATCCCCTCCCTCTCCCAGCCCACCATGCAAAGCCCAGGAAGTTGGGCTGCGCCCACCAGAGGGCGCCGGAGAGGCCAGTGGGTGCGAGTGGCTACTGAAGGCCAGGGTCCGCCTTAGGGCGATTTGTGGATTTTGTCGGGGCTCCAGGACATGGTTCGATAGTGCTGCAAAAACACAAAGATCAGAAGTGGGTGAATTCCAAACGCAAGCGGACACCCAAGACCAGGAGTTAGAAACAGACTCAGACTGGAGACCATAGAACCTCACAGTCCCAGCTGAGAGCCACATGTCCCCTGAGCTAGGGGACCTAGGTGTGGCTGGTGCACACTGACCTGCGCTGTGCCGGAAGTATAAAGCGCGCACCAGGGTTAGCAGACTCGTCCCAGGGTGGGGAAGGAGAAAGGAATCGGAGGTCTCAGTGGTACCCTCGCCAGATTCTAACTATTTGAATATGCTGGGTCAAACGGGACGTGGTTAAAGTTAACTTTCATGTTTCATTATGGGCGTTGTTTTGGTTGTGGAGACAGAGTCTTGCTGGGTAGCCCAGGCTGTCCTTGAACTCACGGCAGTCTTTCTGCCTCAGCCTCCCAAGTGCTGGGATTACAGGCGTGCATCGCTGTGCCCGGCTTCTTCTGTTTTATTTTGGCTTGTTGAGTGTGGCCACCAAAACACTTTCGCTGACCCCAGGGGCTTGCGATCTGAGCCTGTCCCAGGTCTACAGGGCAGCACTGTCCCCGGGGCTATCCATGAGTTACCATGTGGCTCTTCTGCGGATTCAAGAGGAAGGGGAATCAGTCCAGTCCAGAGCGTGCCTGTCCCCGCCGGACAGCTGACGATGGCTAAGTCCCCGGCACCCCTCTGCAGGTGGCCCCCCGCCCCAGCTGCTTCTTCACTGACGGGCTTCTGTCCTGCAGGTGAGCGTTACGGGTCCCAGAAGAGCGTGGCCATCCTGACCAGCAGCCTGACTGCCGGAGCGGCCGAGGAGTTCACCTACATCATGAAGAGGCTGGGTCGGGCCCTGGTCATCGGGGAGGTGACCAGCGGGGGCTGCCAGCCACCGCAGACCTACCATGTGGACGACACACACCTCTACATCACCATCCCCACAGCCCGCTCAGTGGGGGCCGAGGACGGCAGCTCCTGGGAGGGGGTGGGCGTGACGCCGCACGTGCTGGTGCCTGCGGAGGCGGCCCTCACCAGAGCCCAGGAGATGCTGCAGCAAGGGCTTCGAGGGTGACCCAGAGCCCCGGGCTGGGGGGCCTCTAACTTGGCTCTGCCTGGGTCTAAGAGGCTCCTGCCTGCTTCCTACCTGAGGCCCAGGAGTGGCTCCAGGACTGCTGAGCTCCGGTTAGGCTTAAAGTCACCCTCGGAGCTCATCCACCCACCTTCCTCCCTGCTGCACCTATCCTCTCTGCTTGCATGCCCCCAGAGACGGGGAGCTCACCCCTTCCAAGGCAGTCCCCCATAGCTGTTATTTGGGGGAGATTAAGTCCTGATCTGTCCCCACCCATGCTCCCCAATTGCCAACCCCAAGTCCTTGGGTTGTCCCAAGAGCAGCTCTGTTGGTAGAATTAACAGGAGCCACCAATTCAAGCCACGCATGCAGCTTTCCATTTTCTACTAGCTGCAGCCTTCAAAAGCAAAAATAAACGGGGTGATTAATTTTAACAGCTTATCCTAATACCTCAGATGCTTCTTGACGTACAATGAAGAACTCATTTGGTAAAATACAAATATGCAGCAAGTAAAAACTGAGTCCAGGACTCTGGTTACCCTCCTGTAAAGAGAGAATCCTAAGCTGAGCCACCGTAAGTGGGAACCGTGTATATAGCTGAGCCCTTGACCCACAGCGTGGTCACTTCACTGTGTAACCACACGGTCGTGGTCTGAGGCTTTTCTGCGTTGTCCCTGAGGCACCATGTGTAGTTGGGTTCACAGCACAAATCCACATTTCTGGGGCTCAGGGGCCGCCCGCAGTCCAGGGAGCTGTGAAGAATTTCACAGGAGGGAGGGCAGGGGCTCTGCCGCTCTTACGCTGTGGTCAGTGGGCACTGCTCACACTGGCCATGGGCATCACTGTCCCCAACCTGCTGTGCACTGCTCAGGGCAGCACCATCCCGGCCTCCCGCTGCCGGATTCGGGATCCCTGGTACAGATGCGGGAAGTCTGTGGCGTCGTGTGAAGTCCCCGTCAGCCTTCACGTGCATCCCTCAGGCACCCGAACCTAGTGAGCCTGGGAGGCGCTGGGAGCTCAGGGGCAACCTGGGGAAGCGAGGTCCCTGGCCGGTGCCCTGCACCCCTGCTTGAAGGGTGATCAGGAGTCAGACACCGGGCCCCTTGGGGCTGCCCAGGGCCCTGGTGGAATAGCTAACTTTGTAGGAACTGCACAAGTCTGAGCTCACTGGCTCACTTTGAAGGAGAATGAAGTCATGGATGAAAGGAAACGTTAACAGTGTTTACTGGGGGAGAGGGGGATGAGAGGAAACACAGCACCTGGCTTGGCTTCTAGGGGAGCGGCTGACAGTGGAATTGCCCGGGGGTGAGGGCCTTGGCCAACCCGTAGCAGGAAGCTGCAAAGGAAACCCTGCAGCCCAAAGCCACTCATGGGCCAGGAACCCGCTCCCAGGTCCCCACTGCAGGGCACCAGCGCCCCCTGCTGGTCCCGGGGCCCTAGCTGCAGCCCAGAGGAAGGATCTCCCTGTGCTTTGCTGAGCAGGGTGCCCAGCACTGAAAATAGCTTCCTAATCCAAGCAGCTTAGGGTGGCTCCCAGACCATATGACAGGGGCCTCCTGTGTCCAGCCCAGAAAAGCACAGCTGGACAGGAGGGGGAAGAGAAACGTAGCCCCGACCTACCCCGGCTGCACGAGTCCCCTCCCCCAAAACCTATTCCAAATCGTTTTCCAAAATTTCTCCTGGCAACGATACCAAGCCAAAGCTCACTGGAGAAAGGATTGTCCTATGAAATTCAAACTGGACGTGCTGTACAATATTTAGGCTTCTTGCGTGACTTCTAAACACACAAAACTATGCAATGACAGGGCTGTGAGAAGCCCGTGTGGATTCTAAGTGGTGATGCACAAGGCCAGGTGCCTGCAGAGCTGGCCTCGGGCTTTTCTCGTGAACTCTCACCTCTTTCTGTCCTCCCAGAAATGGGGACACAAGTGGGAGGGCCAGACCCAGTCCTTGGCCTGTTTGACAGCTGGGAGCAAATCAGAAATGGGTCACTGGCTGGCCCCACCACTACCAGCTCTTAGGTGCTCCCGAGAGTCCAAGCGCTTTACTGTTCCAAAGACAATCAGGTGGCAACGGCTCACACACGAAGCCCAGACCTCTGCCCTGTCTGAAGGCCTGGCTCTGTGTATGATGTTGGAGGTCCATGTGCAACACCCGCCCCACCACGGTCCGCCTGAGTCCAGAGTCTCCTCCACGTGTGTCAGTCTGACCCACATGGGTATTTAAGATCCCTGACCCGAAGATTCAGGAGTTGGCAAAAAATTGAAATCTAGGATCCCAGCCTTCTGATGGTTTTTACTCCCCTCCAAGATAAGAAGCAAAGAAACCCCAATCTTGGTTAAAATAGAAAATTAAATTGAATCGGAATTCAAAATAAGTCCATAGCCATCCTGCCCTAAATGTGAACTCTCATCTGAACTCAAACTATTTTGGTCTGATCGGCACATTTCAGTGACTTTTTACAAACCCTAATGGAATGGCTGTTGCTGGGAGATGGCCTGTCAGGATATCATTCACCATTTTTCTAGCAACTAGAAGGCCTTTTCTCTTCTGGGTTCCAAGAAGTTAGCAGTCTTGCCGTGCATGAACTCTGTGGCTTCTGTGTTACATGTCTAATAGTGGTTCTGCCAGAAAGCCACTGTGTGAGTCTGCTTCACGTCACTGCAACAAAATAACTCAGACAATTAGCTTATAAGGAGGAAAGGTTTATTCAGCTCACCATTTAAAGTTTCTAACCCAAGACTGGGTGACCCTGTGATTAATGAGGTGGCAGCTAGCAAGAGTGGAAGGAAGAGACAGGAGGAGAAGAAGGTTCTGCAATCCCTGAGGGGGTGACCCCAAAGACCTAGGGATCTTTCACTAGGCTCCCCCTCCTACAGATGGAGATAACCAGTTAGCACGGAGAGACCTCGTGATGTTATCCAGGAGGACACACACGTCCAGACCATAGCAGTGGCAGACAGAGCCGGGGCAACCATGGTTTAAAGTAACTTTATGACAGTACTGGAGACACAGAAGAAGAAACGATAGAGAAACTGAGTCATGAAGGGGCCCTGGAAACGCAGCCTGTGATGCCAAGATTAACTGCATCGCAGAAGCTGGCTTTTAATAAAATTAACTCCATCCATCTTAAAGAGCTGAGCTGGAAGATGATGTTACTTATGCCTTCAAAGCATCGCCCGTCCCACTTGTGAATGGTAGAATTGGTTTCCAGGAGCGGCGGCACCGAGGCCATTCTAGTCCTGCAAGCGAGCGCCTGGTCCAACCGCGGTTCTGGAGCTGCAGGTGGGGCAGGGGTGACTCCTGGACCAGACGCCTCCGGGGTCCTAACCTTGACCTCACCTCCACGTGCCCTTTCATACTGGGCACGTGGGCAGGGTGTGGACCTCCAGGGCCACCGGTATAAAGTGAGGGTGCTCTAAAGTCCTTTTCCGTTCTAAGCATCCCCATCTGAGAAGACTTCACAGCAGCCAGGCCCGGTGCCGTCAGCCAGGGAGGGACAGGGCTGCGCACCTTTGCAGGTACCGAGATCCCCGGAGAGCAAGGCCAGAGCCAGGCTTCGCATTCATTCGCTCCCGCATCGAACGCCTGCTTTATGCCTGCCCTGTTCTAGACAACGGAGGCGCAGCAGGTCCCCAAAACAGCAGTTTCCTCCCGGGCTTTAGTTCTAGAGGCCGGAGCCATAATACAGAAGCCAAATCAGTAGAGCACTTAGCATCTTACATAGAGAAACTGCTCTGAAGAGTGGTAGGTGTGTGTGCGTGCGTGTGCATGCGTGCCTGTGCGTGCGTGTGCATGCGTGCGTGCGTGCGCATGCGTGCCTGTGCGTGCACGTGCATGCGTGCATATGCGTGCATGTCCCTGTGTGCCTGTGCGTGCACGTGCATGCGTGTAGGAGCAGCAAGATTCAGATGGAGTCTGAGGCAGGCCCGCCCCTGTGTTCCGGTTCTCTGGTCGCCCAGGAAGTCCCTTGTCCCTGTAGAGCCATGCTGCACACACGTGGCAGGCAGGGAAGGACAGGAGCTCAGAGCCGGGGCCCGGGTCCTGTTCTTGCACCCTTGCTCCTGAGCACCGGCCCGAGGAAGCTGTGACTCTCTGAGCTTGGCTTCTGCTGCAGTAAGGTGAGCATTGGGTACCAGCGCCATGCACGGCTGAGAAGGGACGGGACAGCAGGCTCAGCGGCTGCCTCTGTCTGCACAGGGCACACTACTCCCACTATTTGCAGGCCCCAAGCGGGTGGCAGGCTGAATGCTGGTCCAGGTTCCTCCTGGCATCACTTCCAGCAAGGCTTGCTCAGCACGCTGGTGCATCCAGCAGAGACACAGCCTGAACCTGATTCAACCTGCCGGGGGCGGCCACAGCTGGCCAGACCTGCTCACCTGGCCTCATCCCAGACCCACAGCCAAGAAACACCTGCATGCATGGGTTCGAGTGCCCCTGAGACTTCCTGGATGACAGGACTGATGAGCCCAGACAGCAACCACAGACCTGCCCTCGGTGCCCACGGTGTGCCGGGCAGCAAGCAGCCACGTCCACGCACCTGCGGTGTCACTCAGACATGCTCACTTCTGCTGAACAGAAGAGGAAACTGAGGCTCCAAGGTGAACGCAGACTTGACCACCTACATGGCCCATGCTGGGCCTCTGTCCTCTCCGTGCAGAGCAAAAGGAGCAGAGCTGTAGCAGTGCCCGGGCCCCGCTAGCCCAGGGGAGCAGAGTGCACCCCTTCATTTCACAGCTTCATTTCCTGCTGAGCAGCTCACAAGGGCTCAGCTGTTCTTTTGCTGCTAGGACCAGGCTGTTTGTCCACAGATGCCAAAGAGCACAGAGGTCCCAGACCCGGCATGTCTCCAGGCGGGCCAGGAGCCACCTCAGTCACCGCTGGACGCTGTACCCAGGGTCTTGCGCCCTGCCCACAGCTAACTGTGCGAAATCATGTGCCTTGAAAGATGGTGGCGCTCCCTGAAGTACTCATGGCAGACGGGGCAGGTGAGGGCCTCTTGCCTTCGTGGCTTAGGATGGGGGTCCGGCCCCGCGCGCTCCTTGTGGTGGGAGCGCATGTGGAAGACCAGGTCGGAGGTCAGGCGGAAGGAGCGGCTGCACCGAGCGCACCAGTTCTGGGTGGACAAGCCCAGGGAGGCAAGCATGGGTGACAGGACGGCTCTCGAGGGCAGTGAGCGTGATGCAGAGGGTACGGGGCTCCCCGGGGGAGCCTGGGCAGGCTCCAGCCACAGGGCGGAAGCCCCATGGAAAGCACTGCAGAGCAGAGTGTTCTGTGACACCGTTTGCAAGTTCCAGAGGTCACCCACCACCAGCTTGGACACGGACAGTCGACTCCAACAGGGGACATCCACAGCGTGGAGGAGTCCAGACAGCTCGCCCAGGGTGGCTTGGAAGACTGGCCTCTCCGCTGGGCGCTTGGTGGGCTTGCTGAAGGTGCTTCTCTGCTCCCCTCGGGCTGCACCAGGCCACGCACAGCAAGCTGGAGCTCTGGGGACATCCGGGCTCAGCTGCGGGGGTCCAGGATGGCCTGCGGGCTCCTCGCGCTCCCTGTCCTGGGCTTGGCTGTCCCCCATCCTCTCCTGTGGCCTCTGCAGATCCTTAAAGGCACTCAGCCCCTCCTCCTTGCAAGCCTTCTGGGGCAGCGGTTTGCCTGGTCTGGGTTTTCCTGCTGAGGGTGTCACAGCCAGCTCAGCCCAGGCCACATCCCGGGCACCCCTGCCGGTGGCAGCCTCGGAGCCCAGGCAGTTCGTTTTCTCCAGCAGCACCGGCTTGCAGCCCTGGCCCTGCTCGGGTTCACTCAGTTGCCGTCTGTTTGCGTCTGAAGGGCTCAGGGGAGCCCCCTTCCTAGCTGCCATGGTGATCAGCAGGGCCTGGCCACGCTGCGCAAAGTGCCCGCTCTAGCAGCCGTGGGTTGCAGGTCACCAAAAGGCTGGCCTGCCTAGGAGAGCTGCGGGATGGGAGAGGTCCCAGGGACAGCTGCGGGCCCACCTCGATCTGCAGAGAGGAAGCAACAGGCAATGAAGTGACAGCACCAGCCCCTGGGGAACCCTTTGTAGGCTGAAGTCAGACAAACCCCAGAACTGGGGTCTCCTGTGCTATCTTTGAACTGGGGGGAATGGCCAGGCTGCCTCTGGGGAGAGGAGAAGGGGTGGCCAGAGGAGCTCAGGGGGCTGTGGACTCAGAGTGCACCCTGGGCAGTGGAGGAGGGGAACACACCCAGGAGCAGAAGCTGGCAGAGCACGATGCCCTGGGGGAGCGGGGTAGGGCAGAGACTCCGGGCAGCGGTGGACAGTGAGCAGCTCTGGAAGTCCTCTTTCCTGAGTGTCTCCATGAGGTGTGATGAAAGCTACGGGTGCCGAGTGCCAGCCAACGGGAAGGCAGGCTCGGAAACCATCCCACTGGGTCCTCACCCACCTGGCTCACCAGGTCTGGCACCCCGTGACTCCTGGCTCTCCTCCAAATTCAGAAGGACCCTGAAAGGAAAAACACGTTGCATCCATCTGGGACGCTGAGGCAGGACAACGGCACAACTAGACACACACGAAAGAGGACTTCAGAGCTGCTTCGGAGGCCGCAAGAGAAATGGGAGGGGTGCTTTGGAAGGTGGGGAGCGTTTGCTTCACGCAATGCGTCTTTTACCTCACTGCAAGAAGTTTCTAAGGTAAACACTCCCTGTATATCCTGAGCACACCACCTATGTACCTGCGTGTGCCTGAGGGAAGGAACTCTCTAAAGCCCCAAGGCACCCAGGAAACATTCCAGCTGGGTGCCCAGGCGGCAGGATGCGGGCCTAGCAATTGTCGGAGGTCCGAGGTGTCCTCCCAACGGTGTGGCCCATCCCAGGACAATGTGAGTGGCCCAGGCCCAAGGCAGGAGAGAGCCGCGTTGTGAGAGGCCCCGGGACCATCACAGCTCCCGCCTTGCTCTCCTCGGAGGACCAGAAAACCATTCTCTCTTTTGCCAAAAGATTTTGCACACGCACACACAAAAACACGCACATATAAACACACACTGACCCGAACCGCACAACCTCGTCAGCCCTCTCTTTCAGTTTCTCTCTCTCTGCTAATCACTCTCAATTTCTCGTCCCTTGCAATCTCTCCCTCCTCGCCCTTCCATGGTGTTGTCCCCAAGCTTGCAGGGGGCCTGTCCCACTGTCCCTGGTCCCCAGCACCACCCTCACTTTGGAGACAGGCCAAGAAGCTGCTGCGGGCCTCTCACCCCAACCCCCTCTGCCGGTCCTTGTCACTGTCTCGTGCACGTCCTGAGAAAGGGCTCTGCTTGTCCCCCTCTGCTCCCGTCACTCTGTCCTCAAATACTTCCCCGAGCCACACGGACGTCCCTCGGAACCAGCCTGTGCTCTTTCTGTCTGAAAGGGACTGACAAGATTACAAGCCTCACCCACCGTTTCCAGTATGTCCTGGGTCACATTTGTGATCGTGGGATCATAAAGTGACAATCTCGGACACATACTGACACTGAGCTCCCAAAGTCTGTGACCTACCCCTACCCCATCCTTCCTACCACAGAGGACAGCTCCTGCTAAAGCTCCCAGCCTGCCCCTGGTCACCCAGCCATGGTGGCCTTTGGGAACTGATGCCCAAACTGTCCGGGGCCCCCAGAGCCACTAAAAATGGAGATGGGGGTTTGCAGCGGGGAAGATCAGAGGCTGCAGGACAACTCCTGCATCGACTCTGTAACAGCTTCCTCCCACTTTTACCGTATGACTTAGCTGGTGCCCAAGTGCCTTTTATTCCAACCTGCCACCAGCCGCCATGCTGAGCTTGGCACAGCTTTGCAGCTTCCTGAGGCCACAGTGGGTCTGGGCGGCACCAGCTGCTGGGTTCAGGACCCTGGCTGACCTCACGTCCCATGCGGTTACCTTCCAACTCTTACGGGGAGGAGGAAGAAAAAGAGAAGACAAATCATAATAATCAAAAGGAAGAGGAAAGCGGGGAGGAGCACAAGGTACAACCTGGCTGAGGACCTTTGCCTGCCATCTGGGAGTCCCCGAAGGGCCATCTTTCTGCTTGGGATGGGCCAGTCCAGCAAGTGCCAAGATATATCTAAAGCTCCATCCGCAACCTGGCTCCAATCCCCGGCTGTCCAGACTACCACCAGATGAAAGCCCCTCCGGGCGGAAAGTCAGGCGGCTCTGCCGTGGCCGTCCCTACAGAGCTCCCGCCACCACTCAGTGGTCACCTCCTCCTTGCGCATGGACACCCAGCCGTCATTTCTGTCCGGGGACTACTCCACACCCCACCTGCCTCCTGGCTTCCCCTGAGTCACCCGTGACCCCTGGCCTCTCAGAGGACCCGGGACCTCATCTCCAGGTCCCTGTGTGGTCCTGGGATGTCCCTGGGTCAGGAGCCTGATGGCACGCAGAGCTCTCAGTACGGTCTCACTCTTCCTGCCCTCTAGGGACCGCCACTGCCCTGGACACCTGCAGGGCCACCCTCTGTCCAGATATTCCTCTCCGCCCTCCCAGACCCCGGCCGCTCCAGGCAGCGAGGGGTCCAGGCCGTCCTTGTTCATCTCGCCACAGACCTAAAATAAAAAGATGCTTTGTGTCCTCAGCTGTCCTTGACGGCCTCAGTTCATCCTGGGCTCTCGCCCGACACCCTCTATCGGTCTCTGTCTCTGTGCGCGTCCTGAGAAAGGGCTCTTCTTGTCTTCCCCTGTTCTCGTCACTCTGGCCTCGGGATGACATTCCTGAGCCACACAGACGTCCCTCAGAAGCAGCCTGTGCTCTCTGTGTCTGAAAGGGGCTGACTGGATTCCAACCTCACCCACTGTTTCCAGCGTGTCCTGGTCACATTCGAGATCTTGGGGTCAGAAAGAGAGAAGGCAGCTACATTCTGACACTGAGCTCCCAGGTGACCTATGGTACCTGGTCTTTCCTACCTGTCCTACAGGGCACAGCTCCTGCTAAAGCTCCGGCCCACCTGACCACTAGCCATGGCGTACACGCAGGTGCTGGGTGCTAGGAGCTAAAGCCTCTGCGGCTCAGGGTGTGGAAGGCCTTAGGTGTCTTCGCCTTAGCCAGATCATCCTAGCTACCCATCGTACATCTGCAGAGAAGTCAAGCGCTTAGCTCTGCAGACAAAAAGCCCAGATGCCACTCAGGCCCTGCCCTTATCCAGCTTGTGACTTTGACAAGCTTCTCATTCTAAGCCTCTGTCTTCCCATCTGTAAAAAGGGTCACTTGGGTGATCATACCCCTGGATAATGCTAAAAATGTAAGGCTCGACAAATGTTTTGGAGACAAATTATTAGCATAAAGGAATGGCCAGTTTCCTGTTGCTTGTACTCTGAGGTCAGCACACAGCGGTGGTAAAGTGACTTGGGCATCTCTTTCTTTCCTATTCCATTTACAGATTAAAGGACTCTTGGTAAACACCCAGATGGCTCAGTTCATGCGAAATGTCTGAGGTACTGTCCACCATACCAACTGGCCAGCGTCCACTTGCTCTGAGCCAGGTCCTACTCAGTGACACGTGTGCACTGCCAGGCTTCCCCTTGCTGTGTCTGCCTCTCTTCAGCTGAAACAAACCACAGCCAAAGACACTACTTATTCTTCTGATCCTTTCGGAGTCCCTCGTCTCTGCCAAGGTTTCCAGGATGTGCTGGAAGATTCCAGAAGATGTCACATTTTACCTTCTTCTGCACAGGGTTTTTGGAAAGAACCCTGGGTTTTTATTTTAGGTCTGTGGCGAGATGAACCCAGAGAGCCTGGGTTTTTCTAAGAAGCGGAGTATGCGTGGGTCTGGGCAGCCTGCTAGCCGGACGGTTAACCCTGAGGACTAGCCTCAGCTTCACTGGAGGCTGGCTGGTTGATGCAACACAGCAGGAGAGAGAGAGGATCCTGGCCAGCTTAGGATTCTACATCCAGCTGTGACTGCCCAGCTCCAGCAGCCACACCTGCGCTCGAGCAAAGCCAAGTCCAGAGCTCTCAGCACAGCCAGCCCCGAGCCCACAGAGAGACTGGCCCTGCGAGCTCGTGTAGGGGAAGACACCCTCTCATCACCTACTCTCCAAAGGGGCCCTGGTGAAGATTCAGGCTGGCCGCACCCAAGGACAGCCGAGACTCTAGAAGAGGAAGTGGCGTTCCAACCACAGCGCCAGCTGGCAAGGCGCCGTGCCACCTAGAACATTTCAAACAGAGCCTGGCCAGCACTGCTGTCTCACAGACAGTCGGGGTACAGGAAGGAAGCAGCCCTAAGGGACAACTTAGGCTCTAAGGGGAAACTCGGGGCACATCCTCAGCCCCACTCACTAAGCGCACGGCTTGGGGGCAACCACTCTGGGCCTCAGTCTCCTCGTAAGTAAGATTGGGGTGCTGATCTTCACTTCAGGGTGCTCTAGTGGTTTAAACAAGGTTCTATGCATGAGTAGTAGGGAAATAACAGACAGGTGGAGAACAAAACCAGGCAGTGGTCATGACTCCAGGGTCAGCCTTCGGAGCACAGTCCACGGCTTACACACCGGGCTGCTTGGGCAGCCACACTTACACGCCCGCAAGAACGTGGTCTGAAAGCAGCAGCAGTACACGGACGTTCTCGAGGAGACGCAGGCTGCACAACGCAGGAAAACAAACAGTAAAGCTTGATACTCAACACTCGGCTTTGCACTTTTTAAAAAAGCAATTGGCGCGTCTGTTTTAAGTACTAGGTGGCCCCTCCTGGATTTCTGAGAAAGAAATCTAAGCAAAACAGACATATGACCCTAAGTCATTTGAAAAGCATCCCTTCCCCTCCCCACCTTCCAAATTCTGATCGATTAGAAGTCAGCACTTTGGTGATTCAAACGACAGCTGAACTCCTAATCCAGATAAGCCTTCCACACCTCAGCTCCATGAACACACACACACCCTGAGTTTACCCGAAGTCCTTAACCGAATGCGGGCGAATTCTCCCACTAAACACACGGTCCTCTCCTCCTGCATACTTTGTTTCTGTTCTCTTGTGGGATCCACCTGGTGCCAAGTTTCCTATCCCACATTAAATGAAAAGTTAAGTTGGCTGAATTATCAAGATCACAGTAATCTACAAGATCGGGTTAAATTCTTTCCAAGCAATCGAAACTTCAAGATTCAGTTGGTAATGAACATCTTTTTAAAAACAAACAACTTAGCATTCATATTTTATATGGGTTTGTAATATGTAGGTCTAGAGATCATCTAAAATGACACCATGTCTCTCTGACATGATTAAATAAAAAATGGAAACCAAAAAAATGGCCTCAACATGCACCTCCCCTGCCTTCCTCCCCAACATTGTTAGGCGTGCTCTCTCCTAAATTTCCTAACCACTAAGTGTCTAAGACGATCTCAATATTAACGTGAAACAGTTTCCCACCGGCCCCTCACCTAACGTGCGCACAGACATTCATTTCAGATTCCCGCAAACATCCTCAAAGTACTGCCCACCATGAGTTAGGTCAGCGTCCGTTCGGTGACACCAAGAATCGCTTTCAGAAGGCTAATGCTTC